TGTAACCTTTTCTAATTTCCTTCTATCCTTGACTGTAAAGTTTGAAGAAGTGCGTCTAGACTCTTCTGGTCTTCATCAAAATTCTCCTTGTGCGCATTCACAGGAAATCCTTCTTTGAGCCACGAATACAGCACCCCATCGTCTTGCCTCGGCTCAGGCCAGTGCGTAGGTAAGATTCCGTTGTCGAAGCAAATGTATCGTTGGAAAAAGACCTCAGTGGGGCAATTATCGCGGTTTGTGACCTTGTATTTTGGGTCTTCATATGAATTTCCATAACCAAAGCGAAAATCGATAAGGTTCGTAAGATCTCTCGCGATGCGATCCAAAAACTGACTCCATCTCCCGCCGTACGCAAAGTCCTTGTCCCAATCGTGATCTTTGGGGTCTGACAACCTGGTCCAGTCTTGCGTCCGGACCTTCCACTGATCCATATTGTCAGAATCGATGCGGATCCAAGAAGCAATCATACAATTGTGGAAGATAAGCCTTCGCAGCGACTTGATAGCGAGGATCCAGTTGAGGTCGTCATCGTGCGCAAGTGTGTAATAGCCCAGAGCAAGTGTCTCGAGCTTTGGGAAAGAGATACCACTCGGGTCAAAGTAGCCAGGAAAAGGGCCCCAATTATCTGATGCACTATAGATAGACAGTGCTTTCAGATTCGCAGCGACAGGCTTTAGCCAATGCGAACAGAAGTACGCTGGGAAAATCTGCAGCTCGACTTTGGTGTAGTCGTGATCTGGCCCATGCTCGTTGTATTCTTGCACCATAGTTATATGCAGCTCTTCTAGCTGAGCCATAACATCGCGAAAGAGGTCAGAAGAAGTGAACTCAGGAATGGGACAGTTCTGAAGGTTGATGATCGTCAGCTTTCGAATTGTCCGATTGTTATCGTCTGCCGCCCTGTCTTTGATGGCCTGGAAGATGAGCGTTAACCTTTCTTCGCGATCAGATACATCTTCTTCCACCTCCTGCCAGTAGTCGGCATCCCGACCCATGCATTCTGGAGTGAAGCCAATCTCCAGAGAGTCAAGGTTTGGAAACCTTGATAAGGCGGCAAGGGCGTCATCGAAAACCAGAGCGTCCTCGTCATCCTCATCGACCTCGATAGGTTCTCTTGTGTGGCCTAGTCCAAGGTCTTCGATATCTGGATGTGTGTGGATGATTGCATGTCGAGGCATTCGCCTGATGACATCATCCTGGCTGATCGTGTTCCAAGATCTGATGTGCCCTTCCGACGGGGAGATGTACACCTCTTTGAAAAGCTCTTTAGCTGCGTGGTCGTCCAACGCTTTACAAGCCAGGCGAACATGCGATAGGTCCTTTTTGTTGTCGACTTGCTTGATAACGTTGGCTACAAGCTCAGGAGCTAGGCGGAGGATGTCGAAACTGTGTGGCGACGACATGATGGAGTATGCTCAATGATGATCGCTGGTCATAATATAACCTAAGGTTCTTAATTGATGGAATCGCGCCTTCATGCGCTACTTGTAACTGAAGGCATTCAGGGGAAATTTGCGGATGCTGAGATGTTACCAAGCTTCTGCCTGGAACTTTCAGGCAATGGTCGACGCTATTCCCAATCGGGAGTTCGGTGCCTTATATCCAGGCAGCACAGGAGTGCGTAGACGTGCTAAAGTAGTTGTGATGGAATTCGACGATAAAAAACTTGTGCTTACATTCCACGAGGGAGACCAAAAATGTCGCAATGCCAAGTCTGTCCCCGCCTAGAACATGGGCAAGGTCGAGGCAGTCGTGTTGTGCCGTCACTCAGCCTATCGATCGTTTCCATACGGACTACGCTGTGACTGCAGTATACATTGTCGTCATTTTGATACCGACCATAGCAGTGCGACTGTCATGATGGGAGAAGGCATCGCTGAGAAGGGGCTATTTACCGCGAAATTTCGATGTCCGGCGATAGAGAGAGTCTACGCATGCAGGCATCCGATTTCCTACCTCATCATCTGTAGACTAGAATCAAGTGTCAAGAAGCAATTAGCATTATGGATGCTGTCCATCTAGCAAGAATCGTAGCCAAGCTCGCTTGTAATAGTGCAGTATTCTTTGTTGTTTTTTATGTCGTGCCACATTTTCAATGTATGCTCACGCGAAGCTTCATAGCTACTCCTCAGGTTCTAAGTTTTCATCAACGCCGTACTCTTCTACGATCCATGCACAGAACCTCTCCCATTTGCTCACCCACTCCTTCAACCTCTGTGCGCGCACACCCTTTCCAAACATGCCATCCTTCACATCCTGGGTCCAATCCTTCGCGCTGTAATCGTCTAGACTCGCCCAACGAACGCTGTTCTCCGCCAGAGATCCCAAACCCTCCAAGCCGAGATTCTCCCACCCCTGTAGCGCTTGCCAGAAATCGTGCGACATACCAGATAGCCCTTGGCCAAGGATGGTCGGATCGTCGTTGCAAAGCGAGCATGGAACGCCGCGGGCTAGAAGCGCAGGCAAAGGATGGGACATGATGCTCCCACATAGCCGCAGTACTTCGTTAGATACCGGGCAACTCTCCACTAGGATTCTCTTCTCTTTCACCATGTCGATGAGCAGTGGATGCTTGTAAAGACTAAAGCCATGTCCAATGCGTCTTGTGCCCAAGATGATCGCGTCGAAAAGATTTTCATCAGTCGAATCACCGTCGCCTAGCGTTTCGCCGGCATGGAAGAAGAACGGTATGTCGACACCCTCTTGAGCGCAGGCCTTGCGGAACCAGAACAGTTCAGGAGCAAGATCAGAGAGCGGACGGCCTAAATCTTCCTGGCCAACCAGGTCGTAGCCGGCGATTATCTCTGGGAACTCTAATTTCATCTCTATGCATTGTTTCATACCTATAGACCATCAGCTTGATAAGAGAACACGTTTTGGTCACCTTAAGGGGAAGGCTAATGTTCGCAGGTGATGTCAGACTTACTCTCGATAACCTGCTTCTTTCCAAATTGTCTAATTGTGGTCCAAATCATCCTTGCACCCCAGAAGTCTTTGCCCTCTTCGCTTGCCTTGAACTTTTCAATTTCATCAGCCAAGTGCTCGAGCATATTAAACCAATCTTCATCCCAGTTCTCCTTCTTCGCACTACGGTAGGGCGTATAGAAAGCTGAGCGTAGATCGACATAGTATACGCCGTCGTCGACCAAGGCTTTGCACATTCTGCGGATGAATTTGCGGAAAATAGGCTCATAGTAGATCAGAGATCCGAGTATAGGAAAGCACGACATGAACTTGCGCCACACTTCGTTGGGCCCCTCATGGTGGGAGAGATGCTCGGATGCAGTGATGGTGACGCGGGAGCGGATCCACTCGATAAACGCTGCTTTTCCACCGTCTGGAAAACTGTCTGCGGCTTGATTCACGGGTATTGGGGTCTTGGCAGCGTAGCCGTCGTCCCAGATCGACATTTCGGTTTTGGCGTCTTTGGAGTAAGTGAAAGAGAAGCCGGTTTTGCGCCTGGTCTGGCTGTCGGTGATCGGGCCATCAGCAACTACGCAAATACCTTCGGTATTGAGAGCTTCTTCGATGGCCCAGTCAAGGTCGACCATGGCTTCCAAGTGGCAATGCAGTAGTGCGCCCTTTGGCATCTTCTTGACGATCTGCCATAACTTGCTCTTCTCCATGCGCTCTTTGGCAAGCGAGAACATCATTCCCGGGAAGACATCGACATGATCGGTCAGCAGGCTGTCCTCATAATCTTTGGTCCAAAGCGTTTGTTGCTCCTCGAAACGGATCTGAGAGACGATAGCGCACGCTTCCTGGGCCATAGGCGATAGATTTTGGCGAAAGAGGTAGTCTGAAGGTTGTCAGACCCATATGAATGGCGTGTTTATGTGATCACTTTTGGGTCACCAACCACTTCGTTGTCTCTTCTCTTGCTGCACCAGTGCATCACGGCCTTGGAGGTATTGTTGGATGAAAGGGTCGCTTAGGCTAGGGACGCCTTCGGCCTTGGCCCATTCATCGTCGTTTGCAGCATCATTCGTCGCCATGATGATTTTTGTTCTTGAGATGGAGGTCGAAGAGAACAAAGGACCGAGAATGCTGATGTATTAGAGTCACGTCGAGTGTTATCGGTGAATTCCGCGACTTCCTTCCTGAACGGCGCTAGCCGAAGCTGACGTAAAAGGGCTTTAGCTAGTGCCAAGAGCGGCGAGATACGGAGAAAAGGGCAAAGGGCACTACAGCAGCCAGAGCCCGCTGGAACAAGTCAATGTACGCTTCTTTGCGCCGCAGCGACGACTTCACACGAGCTGGCAATCACTGTGGCGAGTGTTTCGGTGACTGCTCGCGCTCTTGACGCGTTGCGGCCTGCTTATCGATTGCTTAGTGCGGCCCTGATGCATGCGCGGGGCCGTAGCGGGTGACGGGGTGGTGCTGCACGGTCGCCTGCAATGGCATAACACATCATCTGCTACTTGTACGCACCTGGGACCTACGCGCTAAACCTCGGAACCTCGCCCTGTGATCAACCACGTCTTTTTTTGCCACGGGAACCTGCACCCTCACTAACCCTGTTGCTGATGCTCTTGCAGTACACCTTTCTCTAGAACTCGGACCTCTGCACGTTCTCGAACCGCGGCTTGTCCAGGAACTAGACTTGGCAGGCACCACTCTCTCCCTTCCTCTCTCTGCATCGCTATACAGCTAGAGCGAAGACATCTCGCGCTCCGATATCGTTGCACGCGCTACGAAACGGCACCACCCACCACTCATGGAGCCTCTTCTCTCGTAACGATAGGCGTCCGACCGGCCTACAGTCAAAAGATCCCTCAACCCAGTCGCCAGCCCCCCGACCGCCATGGCCTTCTTCTCCGGGCTCTCGAGCTCCATCGGCCGCCGGCTGCTTCTCTATGGGTTGCGCCACATCGACATATTCGACAAGGACCCTGCCGACTTCGTGAGCGTTGACGTGGGAAAGCGGACTACACTCGAGGTTCGGGACGTCGGCCTACACATCAAGGTGCGTGCTGGAGATGCGCGCTCCGCCCGCAAACTTGACTAACATGGCCTCATAGAAACTCGTCACACTATTACATCTCAAACTCCCTCCCGAAATAAATCTATCGAAAGCGCGAGCCTCCCTACTCCGAGTCACCTTCGTCCTCGACTTCGGCGTTCCCCAGATATCAATAGAGGTGGATGGCATACAAGTCCAGGCACAGCTGATAGAGGACGTGGGAGATGCCTCCTCATCTCTTCCCGGCCAGCAACACAGCCCTTCACGATCCTCGCCACCTACGAAACCAGCTTCGCCTTCCGCTACCTACAACGACCAGAGCGATAGTGGTTCCGACGACGGTGACGAACATGTGCCGACAGTAGACGAGTTGGCCAAGTCCTTCATGAAATCGGAGCCTGCCGAGGAGATTCGTGAGCTGCAGCAGGAGCTAGCCTCCCAGTCAGAGTATATGCAAGAATCTGTCTCCTCTAGTGACGATGGTGACGAAGCTTCTGCGGGCATCGGCGCTCCCCTGGCGCTCCCGACGTACCTGCGCAACATTCTCAATACTGCACTAGATCGCCTGAGTATCACCGTAAATGACATCGATATAGAAGTGGAAGATCACTTCGCGAAGAACACCCAAGATGCAGCAAAGCTAAATCAGAACTCTCCAGTATCTCTCAGCTTCCACGTCGAGCGCATAGCGATTGATTCAATAACTTCCAAAGACATGCGCGTCGAGATCGGGTCAGCAGCACCGTCACTCGATAACACCAAGCTAGGTAAGCGAAGAATGCGTGTGGAAAACATCTGCGGACGCTTGGTATCTGATGTCGAGAACTACGCGTCTTCATCGGGACTCTCACAACCATCGTCTCCGATCACAATCCGATCTGAAGTGTCAATGAGCCAAGAGACCGCCAGCAACCCTGCAACGAGCAGTGTACAGGGCCTGCCTATGCATTGTAGCCAATCTGCTGAACCAAGTCAGTTCGTACAGTCTAGCCAGTTTATGCAAGAGGAAGGAATTAGCTCCACGCAATTGCCGGTAGACGAAGAGATGCTTTCTAGTTCAATAGCCTCGCCGACGCAAGGGGACGAGACATACTCTCGCGAAAGGACTGTGTCCCCAGAGCATCCTAAATCTCCTGAACCGACAATACTGGAATCATCTGTACATACCGTAGACGACGATCGTTTTGCAGATGCTAATTCCGATGATGGCCTGGATCTGCGTGCTGCGGGTGGCTTACCCGATCAAACTGATCGACTTTCACCTGTGCATGGTCTGGATGGAAGCAGCGTACTTTACGACGACGAAGGCTTGCTTGAATACGCCATGCAGAATAATATGCTCGACCCCCAATTCGATGACACGCCGGAAATTGGACGACCGTCAGAAGATAGAACTTGGGGGCTGGATGGTGCAAGCTCAAGTCGGTACACTCACCATTCAGGAGCGGCTAGCGATGCCTCGCTATCGGACTTACCTACTGTGTCTGCTCTCGGCCGCTCTTTTCATGTGCCAAGTTCGACCCACTCCCCAGCTGAATCGAGGCACGGTGAAGCAGCCTCCTCCTCTACTGACAATCTAGCTTCAGCGAAAGAGCACACAGATGAGGAAGCGCAAGTCTCTTTCGATAGTCCACATCAGCAGTTCGACTCATTACCATCACCATCACCATCACCTGAAGAAGACATGGCCGAGTCCAAATATTTCACGCACGATGAGGCCGAGAGCATGTATATGAGCGCCGTAAGCGGAAACGCAGGTGATAGCGCCCACCCGGCGCATGTACCTGGAGGCTGGGACTCATCCCCAGTTTCCAGCAGAGATTCAAGTTCAGATACCTCCAAATCGATACCACAGGACATGATATCAGGGAGCATACTAGCGCCTTTGCCCGAGACAGACGAAGGTTGCGAGACCCCTCGCCCGAGAAGCCGACAGAGTTCAATCTTACTGCCAAACTCCGATCGTCCCTATACCCCTAAGCCTGACGCTTCCGCTTTTCGAAAACAAGCGAGGCGTTTCCTCTCCATCGATGAGATTACTGTCTGGTTCCCTCTAGTCCTTGACGATGAAGAGAGCAGCGGCGATACAAATGAAGGTGCCACGCAGACAGTAGGACTGGACTTCAAGCCTTCCAATTTGGGTGAAGATTCAATCTTTGCCGAGATGCCGGGGTCGTTCTCCAACTATGCTTACGCTTCCTCACATCGACAAAAGCCCTCGTTAGATGCATCATCTCGCGGACGACCCACTCCGGAAGCACCACACGCACCCCAACCACCAACACAGTCGAAGCCGACATATGTGCCTTCCATTATTGTTGACGTGGGCAACATAGCAGGGCACATGGACATTTCAACTGGTCGTATCATGGCTGGCATGTTTGCTCGGCTTATGCAAGCTGTGAGTGGTGAGCCGCTTTCGGAAAAGAAAGTTGTAGCACCCGAACCGACAGAAGCTGGAAAGAATTCCGCTAGTAGTCTCGAAGTCTCTGTTAAGCATATTGCGATATCGTGGCTGGAAAACATCTTGACAGAGTCTTTCCAAGAAGGACCAGTCACGAACCAGCAACTCGATCTCAAACCGATGGATGCGATTCTGAGGATCAATCTTTCAGCAATACATCTCAACAGTCAGAGCAGCGGCTCTACTGCACGGTCACAAATCCGGATCGGTAAATTCGTGCTCGCATCCTTGGATAACGATATCATTTCTTTCCGCAGTTCACGACCAAGATCCAGACGCTCAGCCAATGTCATGCCAGAACAGCCCAGCCATGACATAGAAGTTGAGATAGAGCAGGGCAAAGACACTCGCATCACCGTCGTTACACGACCCGTCAAAGTCATGTTCGATATTCAGAAGCTGGACACAGCGCTCGGTTCTTTCGGAGGTTTTAGTGGCATGCTTGAATTGAGCAGCTCTATGAATTCGACTAGCACCGTTCAGAGTCCAGTCATGTCTCCAGCACGCCCTCGTCCTCGTGGCGTCCATTTTGGTGATGGTTTGCATCCGCCCGTCAAATCACCGCCACCAGCTGCAAATCCTCCTAAGATCCAGGTCCAATTCGGAGAGGTCTCCTTCACGCTCAAGGGGAAGGCATGTTCTATGCAGCTGCAGACGACATCCGTGCGAATTGCTGTACGGCAAAGCAACGTGCGTCTCAAGGTTTCCGAGATCCAGCTCTCTGGTCCCTACACAGAAGAGACCAGCAAAACTGCACCTTTCGCTGCAGAAGTGAAGGGCACTACGATCAGTTTCCTTTTCGAACCCGAAGAGACCGACCTAGCGAGACTGATCTCCCTGATCACGCCATCAAAGAATCCTTACGAAAACAACGACGACATTCTAATCGAGACACTACTGCGCCAGCGCAGGAAGGGCTCAGTGCTCCGAGTCGAGACCAGCGAAGTCGGAATTTGGGTTTCGGACATCCAAGAACTGAGGACGTTAGAAAGTCTTGGTGTAGAGCTAGCGCGGTTGTCGAAGGTCACAAAATACCTGCCGGATGACGATCGACCAGGCCTTCTCAGCCTTGTATCAGTGAAGCAGCTGGACGCCCGGGTCATGGTGAATGAGAAGCTTGGTAACGTGTCTGTCATTCTGCGAGAGGCTGCACTAGCACAAATTGGTGTTCCGGCTTTGCTGGCTGTTGAAGTTGGCAATGCAACTGTTAGTAGGGAGACCGAAGTGTTGATCCACGAAGTGGTCAAACTCCGCCCATCGGAACAATTACCTGTCATCATGCTAAGAATGGTGGGTGATGAGATGGAGCCCATGGCGAAGGTGAAGTTTTTCAACCTCTGTGTTGAATACCGAGTCAGCACTATCATGGCAGCCTTAGGGATATCTGAGGATGGCACGGTTGACAGTCTTGCTCAGGGCCTGGCATCGAGCGTCGCAACTATCACAGGTGCCTCTCCGCCCCAAAGCCTTAGTCGACAATCCTCCCAAGTAAGTTCGCCTGCGACAGTCACTCCTCAGCCGCTACAGGTCGACCTGCTGCTGAGGAATTGCGCAATCGGTCTGAATCCTCGAAAGTCATCCTCTAAAGGTTTATTTGTGCTTACAGAGGCACATGTTGTGGGCAAGCAAGCAATGGATGACTACTCTGTTACGGTAGACCTTCGGAAGGCTTCGATGCATGCTATAGATGACATAGCGCGTCTGGAGGAGGAGCACGAGTCGGCTTCACCTTTTCCTTCTACAAACAGTCATCTTCTGGAACTCAGCAAGTTAGGCTACGTGTCTTTGAGCTCGATTGCGGCGGCTAAGGTGTATGTCAACATTAGAGGCGATGGGAAGGAAAGGCCACAGTTGGTGGACGTTGAGTTCAAGAATGAGTTGTTTGTCATTGAATCATGTGCAGATTCTACGCAGACCCTCATCACAATCCTGAACGGCCTACAGCCACCAATGGCACCTTCTACCGCTGAACAATATCGGACTGTGGTACCTCTACAGCAAATGATGGAGTCGTTCACTGGCGACGAATTGATCGAAGACGAAGAGACTGGCGCTGTCGACTTCATGAGCAATGCCGATCTAGTTGAGGACGATGTACCAACCAACCTTGAGTTCGTTGGGAGCATCTATAACTCACAGTCTTTGCCTACACACGAGGAGATGGGCGACAGCCTACTTGGTGAGGACGACCTCAGCGCTTTGGCTACGCCACCCATGACTCGCCAACGTGGTGACCGAGCTCTTTTGGAAAGCTTCCAGGAGAAGTACGAGATCACTCAAGGCGAAGAAGATTTCGATTTCAGCGACGAATACTTTGGGGAGTCAAAAGTGGAACCAAAGGGTAAAGCCCGCAAATGGGATTCTGCTAAGAACCAATACCATCTCTCGAACGAGTTCAAGACTCCAGATGCACCGCTAAAAGTGCGTGTGCGCGACGTCAATATTATCTGGAATTTATACGATGGCTACGACTGGCCTCGAACACGAAGTATCATCACTCAAGCCGTGGACGATGTAGAGGCTCGCGCAGAGGAACGACGACGCAAAGCAAGAGAAGAAGATGACGATGATGACTTTGTTGAAGAAGACTTCCTCTTCAATTCTGTTTGGATTGGTGTACCCATCAAGGAGGAGAAGGGAGCTCTTGCTCGGCGCATCAACCACGAAATCGACGATCTTGCCAGCGAAACGGGTAGCTATGCAACTTCGACAGCAACACGTTCTACAGGAGCTACCGTACGGCCCCGCAGTGCGACCAAGTCTAGGCGTCGTCTCAAGCTTCAGCGCAGCAAACACAAGAAGATTGCGTTCTCACTGAAGGGCGTCGCCGTCGACTTTGTCGTATTTCCGCCCGACACAGGGGAAACGATTAATTCCGTCAACGTCCGCGTGCAAGATCTCGAGGTTTACGACCATGTCCCTACCTCCTCATGGCACAAATTCATCACATGTGCCATAGATCCAGATATGAGGGAACTCATCCGTCCAATGATCAATCTCGAACTCGTAACAGTCAAGCCAGTCACTGATCTGGCTGCATCTGAACTCGTCATCAAGGTAAGCTCTGCTGAACTTTGAAACTTTCAGCCTTCGCTAATGCGACAGAAAGGTAAACGTACTTCCACTCCGCTTGCATGTCGACCAAGATGCATTGGAGTTCATCACACGTTTCTTCGAATTCAAAGACGAAACGGCACCTGCTAGTACCCCAGCTGGTGATCAGCCCTTCATCCAGCGACTGGAGGTGATGGCGGTCCACATGAAGCTAGACTACAAACCCAAGCGTGTCGACTATCGCAGTATTCGATCCGGACACACAACCGAATTCAAAAACTTCCTGATACTAGATGGTTCGGATATCATCTTGCGCCATGCTATTGTGTATGGAATTACATCGTTCGACAAGCTGCACCAGACTTTGAACGATGTCTGGATGCCGGATGTGATTAATAACCAGCTACCGGGTGTATTATCGGGCTTGGCAGCTGTACGCCCCCTCGTGAATGTCGGATCTAGCCTCAAAGACCTCGTGGTGGTGCCTATGCGCGAGTACAAGAAGGACGGTCGGATCGTTCGAAGTTTACAGAAGGGCGTGTACGCGTTCGCCAGAAACACCACATCGGAGGTGGCACGTCTGGGCGCAAAGGTAGCAATCGGTACTCAGAACCTACTCGAAGGCGCTGAGGTGTTCCTAAACCCGCAGACTGCCTCGCCGAGTGGTCATCAGTCTCTCGACTGGGACGGCGAAGATCCGAATTCTGACACCGAGGAGCCACGCGCCGTATCCAACTACGCTAACCAGCCAATTGGTGTGCGCGCTGGTCTCCGTAGTGCAGCTCGGCACCTTGAGCGTGACTTGCTTACTGCTCGCGACGCAGTAATAGCGATACCTGCAGAGGTGATGGAAGAGGGTAGTGGAACTGGTGTTGCAAGGGCGCTAGCTCGACATGCCCCAACTGTCATATTACGGCCCGCACTTGGTGCTACGAAAGCGCTGAGTAATGCCTTGTTAGGCGTTGGTAACGCACTTGATGCGGGGTCTAGACGTAAGATTGGCGACGTAAGTTTGGTGATCACGTTGCTGGAAAGAGAATTAACTAACGTGTACGCAGAAATACAAATCCTACTAGTAATTTGGCGTCAGAACACGCTTTTGGAGCTGATACTTTGATACCTATATTCCTCCTCTCTCGTGTCATGTTTTTTTTGGAACGTTTGTAAATCAAGAGTGGAGTTTGGCTGCTATTGGCGATGTATCAGAAGGGTTCACATTTGTTACTTGCATTTGGCAGGCTTGATGCGCATTTGTACAGCGGGAGTTAACGCCAAGCATTGCATTAGCTTCCCTAGAGGATTTTGTAATGATACTACGTTGCAAACTGCAAAACGGTAATTGACAGATACCATGGCCTACTCCAGTGAAAGATTCCCAAGTCTACTCATACGACGCAGCTAGTGCGTCTGAACTTCGAAAACATAACAGCGTATCTCAACTCAATAACCTAGAAGCCTGAGTACTTCGTTGATCGTCGTCACTTTGGCTGTCCCATAGCGCCCGTCGTTTCATCTCTTCGAGCCAAGCAGCAGACTGTAGTGCGCGAGGCAGGCTATCGATCCTGTCCTCCTCGCGGTTGCGACGTGTGGTTTCGCAAAATGCCCGATTTGGTGGAGAATCTTTGTTCATAAGGAACTCAACATTACGATAGGATGGGATGTTGAGGCTCATCGTAAGAGTGGTAGGTCTTGGATCTAAAAGTAGTTAGCTGCTGCGAGATCGTCTCGGTTAGGGAAGAACATGCCCACGCAGCGCTCAGGGTGAGGTGTAAGCACTAGCAGTGGTCGTTCGTAGAAGCGATTGTGGAACTTTGATGTATTGTGTCAAATTCCGACGCGATGGGAGGATAAATATCAGAGCCTGTGTATGAAGGTGTAGTGCTCATGGCCTTATCAGTAGTTGAACTCCGCCCCAACTCCGCCCCCAGTGATAGCTGCGCTATGAACGCATGAGCTGAGTCCTCCTGCATATGCTGCACAGCCACAGATGTACAGCTGATTTCCTATCAATCTGGATGTTTTACCGCGCTTCAATCGGCTAAGGGTAGATTGACAGCGAACAAAGCATCTTAAATCAGGTCAACACAGTCAAAAGTCAAGCGCATTCTACCACTATGACGCCTATTGTTTTGCCTGCGGACCTAGAACTCGGCAGGGTCAGAGATGGTTACCCGGCGCTGGCCAGATGGATAGCTCAGGATCCCGACGACGACCCACTCTTATTCCGCAAGTTTGGGAGAGTTGCAGCACGCAACATATTGCACTTGCAGTGTCAGATGACTAGGATCGAAGGCGAGATCGACGACTTGGATGAGCAGATTCGAACAGCGACAAGTCTGGACACTCGCCGATCGCTCCAACGATGGGAAGTCCTCTGGAAGAGGGCGACAACCGAACCAAATAGTCTTGAAAAGCAGCTGACGGACAAGCTCAAGGAGTCACAAGAGTTGTTGAAAGATTACTGTCGGTGCGAACGATCACTTTCAGCTGTCGTATGCTAACGTGTTCGCCAGACGAAGCGCTTGTTCTACGAGCCCAAGTCGCTCAATTAGGCAAACCGAGTGATCGGATCTTGACAACTTACAAGGATTTCCTCTCTGGAAAAGCCATTGCAAATGCAGGAGACGACTCCATGGACCTCATATACGGCCGTGCTAGCAAGTTCCTGGATGAAGCATCAGATCTTGTCGCTTTACAAAAGCCTACCAATCATGACTACCTGTCGCGCTCGCTAAGGAACCATTGGCTCTTCACCAGAAGTCAGTCAGATGATTCGATTGATAGAGCAACAGTGTACAAAGACACACACGTCGCTCGAGTCGTGGCTGCAATAAGCATGGTTCTTGCTGCGATCCTCCTTGTTGGAGCAATCTCGAGTCTGTACTTCGTGATTAACCCCAAAGCAAAGCTAGGATTGCTAGCGTTGTACACAATACTGTTCGCGATGAGTGTTGGGCTTTGTACCAACGCCAGGCGATCAGAAGTTTTCGCGACCACTGCAGCGTATGCTGCTGTATTAGTAGGTCCGTTGGAACTTATTACAAGTTGTCTCGATGAATGCTGAATGATTCTATAGTGTTTGTGAGTGGCGATTTTGGTGGTGGTAAGAGTGAATGCATGATACAGCTTGATGGCGGACTCTGGAAGACTGTCAGCTGTCCTAATTAGGCGGAGTTTGTCGTAAAGAATGAATGAATGGTTGGGAGGACATAGGGTCAATTAATGACGAAACAGTAACTTAGTCGCTACGAATGCCCACGTGATAGTGGGTGAGATCGTATCGCTGGCGCTGTACGCGTCTATTCGGGTGATTTGTATCCCGAGCGCCTGTAATGATTACTACTTCATCGTATGGGTCTGGGGTGCTCAGCCAGAAGCAGCCAGTACTGCTTGCGCGCCGAGAACACCAAGAAGCGGATTACTGATCCCGAGGCTGCTTGAGCATCATATAGCCATGCCAAAATCGCGAGAGCACCTTTTGCGATGAACGAGCACTTTCGCAGCTTTGCTAGTCCAAAAATCGATCACACTCAAGCAGTATCTAAGTGTTTCACAAGGCATGTGCCGCAGAACGCGAAAGAATGGAACATGATATCGTTAATATTTGGATGCTAGGATAAACTGGTAAAGTAGTCCGCTTTGGAAGATTGGTCCAACGACGTAAATCCCAGGGTTCACCACGAGCATCGTCATTACTGTATCGGTCACGCTTGGTGCGACTTTAGTAAGTGTATCTGAAGCCCTTCTGGTCGCCATCCTGTGCACATATTAGTATCTGGGCGCAGAGGTTGTGAATGGAAGGCACATACGTTGTACTCTAGCTCAAGCTCACCCCGATCCGCACGCTTGTTCAAGCTCCACGACCTCAACGTTATTAGAATGACAATAACGATTGTAAGCAGGCAGCATGCGATGCAGGCGTATAGTCCAGGCTCATATCCGGGCTTGTCTTGTTCCCTGAAGACGAGACCACCAGCGATGCCGCCGACGCCGCCCATTCCAACCAAGATGGCAGAACAGAATGCGCGCTTCCACTGGCCTCTGATGTTGTTTGCCTGGTATGACATTGTGGCGGGGATGTTGCTGTTCGCGCCAGCAGTGGTCAGGAAGACGCCGAAGTACCTGACGTTCGAGTTGCTATGGAAGCCCATAATGGGTAGTCCGACGAGGCAGAGGACCATGTTGAACAGAATAATGGGTCCACGGAGGTGGTACTTGTCTCCAAGCCAGCCGGTTGTGTACATGACAATGGCGGCAAATGCGTAAGGAGGCGCAACAAGACATTGGGCTGCGCCGACGCTGAAGCCCATGTTTCCTGTCAGAATGATGGGCAGGAAGTACGCCAGCGCATACGTAACAGTCGTTGTGTTGAAGAAGATCTATCCTTGTCAATATTTGGCACTTAAACGGTAATCTGAGGACATACCATCGCGAATCCCCAGATTTTGATATCAGCACCGCCCTTGAAGAACTTGGCCAAAGACCATGGCTCGGGCTTAGCATCACCACGATCCTTGTTGACACGGTCGATGATGTACATAGCTTCACGCTCAGTCAGGAAGTTCCACGACTTATGCGCCTTGTCCGGGAAATCAACCAGTGCCCAGTAACCGACGATACCAAGAAAGCACGTTAGCGCGCCTTCAATGATGAAGATCCCTAATTTTGGAACTTTGCGTCAGTGTTGTCATAACGTAAGGCGCAACCTGATGACAACTTACATCGCCAACCGTTCAGACCCTCTCGGCCTTTCAGTTGCATCAAGCCGTACGCCAGGATACCGGCACAAGCAGATGCCAGACTTCCAAGGATATAGAAACACGAATACCGCTTTCCGATGTCGTATCGGGTATCTGAAACAATTGTCAGCATCTAATGTCCAGTCGGTTTCTATGACACGCTTACACCAGGTGGACAGCAAGTATACACAGCTTGGGAAGAAACCGGCTTCCAGTACTCCAAGGACAACTCGTAGTGCAGACATGGTTCCATAACTGTCTGCAAAGCCCATGCCGATCATGACACCACCCCATAGCACCACAATAACCGAGAGGAAGTTCCTAGGTCCAAGGTAGCGACAAATTACTGTTGCCGGGGGTTGGAAAACGATGTAGGAAGCGAAGAATACGATGGTGACGACAGAGTAACGAGATATTGTGCCTTCTAGCTTGCCCAGGCCAAGCTCGACATTCATACTGTTGGCTGTCAGCTTCTACGTCGAGCAACTTCGGGTCTACAATTGACGAACCCAGCGATAGCAGCAGCGCTGAGATTGGTACGGTCCATCAAACTGATGCAGTACAGCACTCCCACAGTCACGACAAGACGCCGGTCGATGCGATGAATGATCTTTCTCTGCTCTCGCTCACTAAACTCGCATTCGTATCCGGAGCCATCTTGGGAGCCATCGATGTTTTCCTTGAGCGAGACCGGCCTCTTCTCGAACGCGTCGTCGTGACGCATGACAGACTCTTGATGAGCCATGGTGGATACGTAGGTTGGTCGTGGACCCTTAGGAAAGTAGGAGGGAATGTAGTGAGTTCGAGCAGGAGCAGGGTAGGCCCACCATATACACGTTATATGTCCAAAGCTCTTGCCGTTCGCCTCCCCACCCACGCGCTGCCAAGCACAGTGGGCGCATTGGGAAGGGAAGCATCACTGCTGGTAAAGTACCGAGGCACGGGGATTCACCACTCATTCGTCCGGGGTGCTCTGTGGCTACCTTTTGAGGACCGCACGATCCTAGCATCAGCCTGCCAACAGGAGAGGGAAATCTGCGGGACAAAGCCAAAAGGGCGAGGAAAGCTGGGGAGAGGCTTGGCGTGTGGAGACCCCGCATCCTAGCGAATGCCGCCGTTCGTTCCGGATCCACAACAAGCCAAATGACCTACAAGAGAAGCCTTCTTGTGAGTATGCTACTAGTCTCTTGTCGCCCGCCATGGCGGAACTACGCACAGGAACAAGAGCTGAAGAGTCGACAAGGACCGACTCACATTCACTTCCTTTGTTCAGTTTCAATGTCGTGCAACCCAGAGATTAAGCGATCGGCATCACCACGTTTCAACAACACGCGCGGGGTAACCAGGCGTCCCTGGCGCTGTAAGAACTCCACATGGGCACATTTTCCTCTCCAGACCTTGTCCCGAGCAGGCAACTCCTCCGGCCTGCTTCGCAGCGCATGTGGTTTCGAGCCGCATCCGAGCAAGGGGGCATTGGCACTGATTTCCCGTTCCAAGCCTCCGGCGACTTGGCGGAACACTGTCAGCGTCATTCTGGTCATTATCGGGATGCTTGACACAGAGCAAGATTTCTTTGCGGACGCTTGCGGTGCGCGTAGCTCCGCAAGACGACCAAGTGGAAGAGGTTGAGGCACACAACCGAGTCCCTCACGTTGCATCAACAGAGATAATCGAAGCAGACGTGCTTCAGCTTGTGGAAGAACGGTGAAATATTGGACTAGATCCAGAAGACGCGAATGCCTGAATCCTTGGTGAGAAAATACGATGCAGTACAACTCTATGCATGCACACTTTCGGCTAATAAGCGCACAAGGACTAGACTTTTGACAACGCCTCCAGCCTAGACCAGCAGATCCTGTCGCGAACCTGCCGCGGGCACAAAGGGTTCGCCTACGACTCCTTCGCTATCCGTCACTAGGCTTGACACCAAGGGATGTTCTGCATGTGTGCAGCATTGACGACGTGGCGTAATCACACCACCAGCGATATACAATATACACGAACACATGTTTTGACACAACACAACTTAGACGCAAGAAAGCCAAAGCAAGCATCTCATGTATGTATGAAATCGGGTACCAGATGTTGTAGTAAAACGCATTCATGGCAACTGCCCAAGTGATCCATCGTGTACGCCATAGGGTCGACCGTTCACCCATGCATGCAATGTAGTCGCTCTTCTTCTCACATCTGGATTACAATTAGAAGGAACACTTTGCTGATAGCCTTTACCAGAATATTGGAACGTGGCGATCATCGCATCGTAACCTGGTGCTTGGGAGCCTGATCGGTAATCTTCCCCAGATTCTGGCTCTCCGATGAGACCCTGAGACTCTCCAATCAGCATTGAGATAGTATTTCAATAACCGAGGCCTGCAAGATGCAGATTTCCAGAGTACCGATATCGCGTGATTAGCTCCACGCATGCATGCAACATGTGCACCGTCAACAGCTTGGGTTGTAGCCCATAAACCTTTCACAACCACTACAACTCGGTCGCTGCCACCAATCCCAACTCACGTTTGCGTCAAGCCGAGGCACTGTTGTCTGCCTCAATGTATCGTCTTGACATGTCTTGCTGGGCGCTATTGATCAGACGATCCCATGCATTTCTTTCACACCCACGATATTGTGATTGTCGAGTGCTGCCAATCAGCTGGCTGGCAGGCAGATAAGTTCCGAGGCAACGCGCTGCCAGAGCGGGAGGCCAAGGAATTGGGTACACCCCAACGCAAGCCACAAGCAAGATAAGACGCGCGGATAGGTAGGCTTTCGATATGGGCGGGAAAAGATTCGCTTCTACCTTCCTGACCGGCTATGTGTGAACACCGAGGCAACAATAAACCAATTTCGACTTTCACCCAACAGCACTCGCTTGCAAGGAGGTGGTGAGAAGCGTAATGTTGCGCCAGTCGGGTATCGCCAGTATCATTGACTCACAAGTAGCATACTTTCTGTATTTCTAGACATCCTAATTGTATCGCTCAACCTCCTACCGTCTCCTCGGCGGCTTCATCACCCATTTTTCTCCAGCCTCCGTTCTCTTGAAATACCCAGCGCATCTCCCTTTGTTGTCCTGCAACTCCCAATCCTTGACTACGATTTCGTGGATCATATGCAACAAACCCATCTTCACCGTAATCTTTCCCTCCGCTGAATCAAATGCATCGGTAAACTTGATGGGATCTGAGTAGAAGAGATGTGGCTCTTGCAGGACATCGACCCAGTCGAATAGTGGAGACAGCTCGGGTTGGAGTATGTTGATGTCAACCTCTTCAATACACGTGTTGACATCGAGACGTAGAAACATGACCTCATCGCTGCTCACGAGGAAACCATAGCTTGTGCTGATCTTCAACATGCACCAAGCTATATCTCCTATGTCAATAGTGAGTAAGGACCCTCATATGAGGACCATTGACCTACCCAGTACGCATCTCAGACTCCCCCAAGAGTTCTTGCCCGCCTCCTCAACGGCCCAGGTCAACGCTCCCGGTCTTCCTCCCAAATACTCTACATGGCCGATCAGTCTCGGCTTCGGCTCTAGATTCTGACCTATAGGCCTCGCGCGAAACCGGAATTTGGGCCCGAGTTTGGGATCTAACAAAGCTTTGCTAAGTAGAATGCGTTCCGGTTGCCTATAAGCACCCAATTGCTTCATCATCCGTGTAGTAAGCATTTCGTTGTAGACTATCTCCACGATCTCCGCTACCTCGCGTCGAAACATGTCTTCCAATTTTGCAGAACCTGTGTAGTCTTCGCCAGCAAGGTTACCTTCACCACCGTTGTCTTCATTAGCGACACTGGCATCTCTAACTGCGCTGTCTTTATTGGCGGTGTCGTTTTCTTCGGCGACGATGTCTTCGCCGTCGACTGTCGCTGCAGGTCGTGGCATATCCATTTCGTGATCTTTGAGTTCGTCGAAAATCGCCTTGCAACCTGCACTCTCCCAATGGTGTATCACATTACGCTGGTATTCTTTCCAGTGATGTAGATAGCCGAGGTACTAACGTCGTGGTGCTTTGGCAGGTAGAAAGAGCGGCTCGTCCGATTTCGCTCCCAAAAGGTGGCGTGTACTGACTGGTTGTAATATCGCTGACCGAATGCTTGATGGTGCTATGCTCGAGGAATTTTGCCTTGGTGGTATCCGCTCCGGGGTCTCCAGCTCCGAGGCTCCCTCGATTGAAGGCTCCTGGTTCGAAGAATTCTCGTTTAGAGGCTCCGTACCGGAAATATTCTCGTCTGATGAGCCCATTCCGTGCAACGTGGTGTCGTGCTTGGATAACGATAGACAGGTTAACGATGAATGTTGTATGTTGCGAGTGTAGAGAGCGTGTAAGTGGTAGGAGTAGGCAAACGCATTTTCCACTTGTACTTCAGAGGCAATTGCTCGGTTCTCAAGTACTGCTCGCAGTTGCTATTTCATACATTTGCTCTTACCACAGTCAAGTGATATGTGAAACGTTATGACGAAAGTCGCAGTTCAAAAGCTCTCAATTCAACCGAAAACGTATGCCTCTTGTGCAGCGTACGCCGCATCTAAGCGGGTAATTTCCGTCTTCCTCTGCGGCTCTTTACTGTGTCATCGACAAGTCGACACGACTAGATTGTCCTTCACAAGTGACGCACGTTTTGGAAGTGCTTAATACACCTACTCCGCAGACATATGCCGTCTGATTAAGGACGAAAGGCAGTGCATGTAGACCCGTAATCTTTCAAATACAACATGCAGCGTGAGGTATAATGTAGCCGCTCGGGGCTGGCAAAGGAGTGTTGAGCCCTGGAGGAAAGAAGGAAGGAAGCAAGCAGGATGGCAACTTTAGCCGAACTCGCGGTGTCCCACTATGACAACATCGTGCCGAACTCCACTTCCCCATCCCAGCTTGCGCAGCCTGACATCCTGTTTACTACAACCAGGCACAACATGTCTTCCACATTCGTCGAGCACATTGTCTGTGCAGCCATTTCTCCCATTGACTATCTACCAACGTGAATTAAACAATGTACGCGCTCACACTAGCGGGAATACCCATCTCGATTGGCGCCAACGAGGCAGTACACCAGCAACGGCTGCTGGATGAAGAAGCTGAAAGCGATGAGCGTCAAGAAGAATTTTATCTAGATGTTTTCTGTGACGCCAAGAGTAGGAAGAGAGACGAGGTACATGGCGCAATAGTGGTACTGAAGGATGGAAAGGTACATGACTACAGCTGCTCCGCGGCGCACAAGACTAACAAGTTTGTAGATACGGCTCTGGCCCAAAGATGCGGAGACAGGCTTGCCAAAGCCTGGTCCAAACGATGAGCCAGCACCGCACCCCTTCACGGGATTCTATCTACCCTTTCCGTCTTCCGATCTGCCGCACCGTCCTATGCCTGCAGCACCTGTCCTTGGTCTCGTCAGTACGGTACCAGCATCACAGCCTTCACCACCTTCATCGCCAGCTTCGTCTGCACCCTCTACGCCATCCCCCATAGCTCACAAGGCACCCTCGAAGCCCTCGAAGCCCAAGCTCAATTGGCTCTACGCAGACAAGACAAGGCGCGAACTGCGTTACGGCCCACGTGTAGAAGCGAAGAAACACACAGTTGGACCGTGGGATTGGACGGAAGATGAACAGGGACTGACTTTGGATGGGGAGGAGTGCCTTGTTGCTGTGGAAGAGGAGAAGGGTGGGTATGGCTGGGCCGTATACTGGGACAGGGAAGATGACTGTCTGAAGGAACAAGGGACAGGGAAAGACAAGAGGGTATTGAGGTGTAGTTTGGAGAGAAGACTGGTAGAGGAGCAAAGGGTCAAGGGATTGAACGAAGACTGACACTGCTGGCACGGATGCCGAGCTGATGATTGTCGTGTTTCAAGTGCATGCAGATGACTCTGACAGAATGATTAGCATAGTTGTATGCTTCCTACGCTGCATTCACTACTTGTACCTCGAAGGCGGGAAGGGCGACACTCGACTTGTGTGGAAGATCGCGAACCCAACGCGCTCTGATTGGCTGTGAGGTGTCGAGCAGCGAGCGGGGAAAACGCGTGCAGGGATCCCCACGTGTCCGGACGCGGTTGCCGGGCAGACGCAGGGAAATCAACACAACATCAAATACACGCCGTGCCTGCATTAGACTCGCTGTCTCCCGCACCCCTTCCACCTGTCTGGACATCAGCATAGAATAAAATCACCGTCACACGCGCCTACTTTCTCCCCAACGCAATTGTTACCCCGCACAAAATGGCAAACGCGAACGTCGCCCAGCGGTCAGTCGTCCCATATCCCGCCAGTCCAGACCTCACTCCTCGCTCTCCTACTGACGCCCTCTCAGTCTCCAGAAGGAGCTCATGGACATTATGACCAAGCCCACACCCGGCATAACCGCCTTTCCCGACGACGAAAACATGACCGTGTGGACTGCCACCATCGACGGCCCAGTCGACACACCCTACGCCAACCTCGTCTTCAAGCTGTCCATGGAGTTCGCCAGCAACTACCCCTACAGCCCGCCGACCGTCCTCTACAAGACGCCCATCTACCACCCCAATGTCGACTTCTCGGGCCGCATCTGCTTGGACATCTTGAAGGACAAGTGGAGCGCCATCTACAACATCACGACTGTATTGCTGAGTCTCCAGAGTCTGTTGGGGGAGCCAAACAAGTGAGTATTCAACGAGTCCAGGTCAAGGCTCGAGTTTGAATGTGCTGACTGACAGCGAAACAGCTCAAGTCCGCTCAACGGTCAGGCCGCAGAGCTCTGGGACAAAGACCCCGCCGAATACAAGCGCCTCGTTCTTGCACGCCACAAGGCACCTGAGGAACTGGACGCCTGAGTGCCTTCGCCACTTCCACTTTGATCCGGCGCTGCCTCACGGCTCGGTGCGTCTGACATTCGGTCCGGCACGCGCCTGACGGCACAGTCGTTGCGCATCTTGAGCGAGGCGTTGAACGCGGGCCAGATGCTTGTCGTCAACCTTTGACGATATGCGCCTGGCACTCAGCGGTCGGGTTATGAAACGAACTTTGCTTTTTGGTCACTGTCGCTGGCACGAAAAGGCTTATAATGGCGAGCTGTGCGCCCCAAGGCTGAGTCCACGCACAAGACAGCGAGGGCCTCGACGTTCCGGAACGTCTTTTGGCTTTGGCATGGAGTTGCACCAGGCGCTTTGTATTGGTTCGCATTGCGATGGCGTAGGATAATGTTAGATGACGATTGCAGTCCTTCATACTCATGTCCTGTCCGTTATGTCTTCAACTTTCACGAATACCTACAACAAATCTCCAACTAAGAGCGTGTCTTGTTGCCCATGTTCTGTTGAGTGATGTCGCAGTACTATGCGGCAAGTGGCTGCTTATCGCACCACAATCTCTAGCCGTCACCCCAACACACAAGAAACCCGTAGTGACCAAACATAACACAACTGTCCATTCAAACAGAGTATGGAATATAGCGGGAACAATGACTGCTTGTGGGCACAAAACATGGGAGCCTCATGTCTCCAACCCAACCATGGTGGCCTCGCCAGCGAGATCGCTCGCCCCACGCCACTGCCGCTCGACGCGGGATCAGACCAGGGTCACACACCTTTGGAGTTTGCACTTGCGCCCACACGCCCACGCGCCCAGCGCTGCCGCCAGGGCCCGACCTGCACATCAGTTGATCACCTTAAAATCGCCGATCAGGGCATTAAGTCCTGCTTTGCTTTTCCACATGTTCAAAGCTTCTAGACGAACGGTGAGACTTGGCCCAGTGATGAAAGTAGACGCCGAAATGGCATCCGCTACCATCATCTAAGCTGTGTGACGCGTTATGGACTTCTAAATAGAGACTAGGTGGGTCGGAGCGCGTGCATGATGGCGCTCTGAAATGGTGGTGTGGCAGTGGGCTTGGAAGGCTGGGAAAACTCGGCCTTGGGAAGGCTGAATGGGAAGGTCTGGGTGAGACGCCATAAAATACCGCCGCAACTGTTGAGGCGTGCCAGAAAGCCTATAGGTTGGCACGAGCAATAAAGGACATCCAGTGCAAGGCTGATGTGGCTGTCACTGTCCGGCGCCCAATCTCCCGAGGACTCGTATGCGTCGCGCGCGTAGCCAGGAAATGATACGAACCTGCAGTCGTGTAGCAGAAGAGTAATCTGCGACTGTGCTGACGTAGTCTTGATTGCACATTGTTTTTCGCTGAGGCGAGACTTTCTGTGTTAATAATTCATCGTACAATATAGGGGCTGTTCAGATCCCGTCATCGATGCGATGCGCGGCTTTCAGTGCCGCCAAATCGCGGAGAAAAGTAAAGTGAATTTGCGGAGTGGGTATCAGCCTCATTTGTCAAGGATATAGAATAGATCCGATGGTGGTCACTCCCGGTTCAATCGGGTAACACGAATTAAATGGAAGGCGAATACCCAATTTCCCCAGTGCACTTGTCTGTAGTCTTGGATAGTCGCTGAATGGGATTGGGAAAATTGTTTTGTAGGGCTAGATCGGTGGCTTGCAATCTCGATCTCAGATTCTCTCAATGCGTTGCTTTTCGACACAACGTTGCACGAACGAGGGGCAAACTGATCGAAAAGCAACAGCACTGACATCGTTGTACGCAACTTCAATGAACATTTGATGATCTTGTGACGGAAGCTTGTGGTACCTCATCTATGTACCCCGCCATGGCTTCGCAACGGCAATATCGCCAGAAGACGGGGTCAGGGGTGCAGATATTATGCCTCGGATACCTTCCAGAAGGCGCAAGCTTCCCATATTGGAAGACGCTCTGCATATCCGGTGTGCTCGGAACTGACAGCTGATCTATGCTGATCGTTGGCATTAGCTGTTCGCACAGTTTGCTTGCGGTGTTTGTTACAAAGGCAACACTATCAAGCGATACGGACTTTGTATGCAGGTCAGCGTTGGTATTGCTGCAGGTGCTCGGGAGAGTGGAAGCATGGAAGCAACCACAAACACACGCTGCTGCTCAGTCTGCGGCCGTGGTTGCTCATGCACATGTCGAGTAACCTGTTCGCTCACGCATTCGGTTATTGTTACTGGCCGCCGAACCGGACGCGAGGTTCCGACGCGGACGGATTCTAGTCTATGGTTTAGTGTCCACCATATCGCCTGACGCTGCAGCCGACGACGCTCTACGAATCATAGAATCGGGCCTGTCTGCTGGCGCACACTCGTTGGAATGGTTCGTCGTAGTCGCAAGAGTGTGGCTGACTGCTAGAGGTGGGGTGTTGAGAAAGGATGGCACGACTCGTATGGAAACTTTGTCGAGCAGAGTAGTTCACGATCAAGTCGACTTGAGACACTCATGAAAGCTTGCCAAGTTGCTCGTATTTACAGTATCGATGATGCCATGGTAGCTTTCACAAGTGAGTCGTTCGAGAAAGCAAAGCTCCCCACTCTCGGTGGATGGTTCCGCAGACACCAAAATAGGTCGGGCTTGGATGACCCTGTTATGGCGCCTCCCGATGAAGCTGATCTAAGCAGCACCGAACCCGCCACGCCGGATGACAGCGCGGGTGACGCGATGCCCCCAACCGAAAGCCTCAACCCGTGAGGTTTCTTTCTGGTCAGGCGATGCGCCTTGGTGGATGAGAAAGCCTCACTGACAAGATGGAGAAGGCAATTGCAGGCCAACGTGAGGCATGGTAATGCTCTGGTCTCAAACACGGACAGGGCAGGTCGGACTCGAAACAGGTACAGCACATGCCCTACCCTGCCTGGAGCACCCGGCTCCCAAATTCCGCGCCCGTCGTTTTTAAACGCATAGCCATTTGCTGCCCGCAGTTCTGCCACGAGTGATGGTGGGCCCGCCCAGGCTTTGCCAGACTCAGCACACCGTGCAGCGTCGGTCGGTCAGCGTGTTGGCATATGGCGCAGTACGTGCTGGAGATGGACGTCTGCAATCAAGTACTGGCGGTCTAGGTAGATTTTTTCGCCTGCAATGAGAACTGAAGCGTCTTATGAAGAGGACGACTGTTTTAATAAAACGAAATGGGACCAGTGGGCGTGTATGGCAATGCCTTGCAGCGGCCACAGATTGAGGTAGCACGAGGTACCTTGCAAGCGGGCCGCCGCTGGATTTGGCACCCTGAAGCGTAATCGTGCTATGCCTCGACCGCCCTGGTCGGCACCACCGCCTTCTGAGGAATGCGAGCTCGCCCAACACTACCACCCGCTCAGCTTCCGTCGAGCTTACCACTCTTCACTCGTGTGCGTGTTTGTGAGTAGACTGTATTGTTGCTGCGATAGTATTGTCTGGTTCACCCAGCCGTTCATCCTCCTCTGCGTGTCAACCAATCGTTTCAGCACCGTACCTTGATATCCGTGCACGCTTGCTCGCTGGATTCCGGGCGCGCTATGACAGTGACAGTCTGACCTGTCTGACGGTCCTCCGAGAGCGCCCTTTGTTCGTTCCTTCGTCCTCCTCGAACCTACCAACGCCTTACCCAAACACCAGACCTCTGCGACGGGCCTCTGCCTCGAACCCGGAAGCACTGCTTGCTCTCCGCTCAGTGCCTGGGTGCTCTCTCCATGCATTGCTTCTCCTAGCAACATTCGGGTGCGAGCTTCACGCCTGTTCCACCTCTCTTCACAAGATAGACGGCGAGCGATAGCAACATGGCAACCTCGATGCTTTCCTCGGGCGGCATTGCCCTTGTCGGGGCTCCGGATAGCGACGCCGGACTTAAGGACGGCAAACAACCGCCTGTGCAGGCCATGCAGGTGGACATTACCCAAGACATTGTCGACGAGCTCCTAGAAAGCGTCAGGAGCGGGAAATCGCCGCAGATCATCTTTGGACGGACTCCTGTATGTGTGCACAGTTGATGCCATGCTCCCCGTCATGCGTGGTTCGACTTGGGGGTTGGGAAAGGCGCGAGCTGGGCTAACCACAACAACAGCAACTCAAGTACGGCGACAAGACGCACATGCTGCAGAGCAGCACCGAACTCCACCGATACGAACTGTACAAGTCCAGCGGGACTGGTAGCGACGACAGCCTCGAGTTTGCTGGTCTGATCAACCATAGCCTCCTGGTACACAAGGCCGAAGATGTGACGGCAGGCGTAGACTCGGCGCTGGAGCAGCTCAGGAGTAACATGGCAGCGATATCAGAGTTCAAGGAAGCCAACAAGTATGCCTCCCCGGTATTCCCATGGCTGCCCACGCTCTTTGACATCACGTCGAAACACTCGAGCACCCCTGTCGCAGATGCATGTCGTGATGAGACAAAGTTGTGTATACCAGGACTGACAAAGATTGCTGCAGGACCATTGTTGGCGACGCTGCTCCCGGCCGCACACCAGCCCATCGTCGCTTCCCTTCGACGGGCTTCAAGGCACACCTCGGTCCTTCCATGATGGGCTCGCCCCTGCTCAGCGCTGCTTCCTCGCCCATGCACAAGCGCGCACCCACGTCGCAGCCGAGCAACAGCCACGACACCATTGTCAGCGCCCTGAGGGTCCCCATCATCCACCTCCTGGCTCGCGAGCCAGCCACCGAAGCTTCTCTCGCCGCCACCTGCCGTACCTCCTTGGCCATCATAAGGGATGTCTTGCCCAAAATAGCCAAACGCTCCACGGCCGATGCCGACAAGTGGCAGCTGACAGACAAGTCGTTCCGCGAGGTGAACCCCTTCAAGTTCCCCTACCAGAGCCCTGAGGACCGCCAGCAAGCCATTGATGGCGCAATCAAATCTTTTGACCGCCAACGCCTGGCCAAGGACGACAAACTCTGGCAGATTCTGCTCCCTCGAGACCAGCGAGGCCAGGGCATATGCCTGTCGCGCTCAACCGTCAAGGCCCCAGAAGCCAAGCCCAAGGCCAAAGCAAGCACTCCCATGCACAAGATCTCAGACCTTACCAAGAAGAAGCCCGTTGCAAAGAAGGTTGCTGATAAGCCTGCGGTCGAGAAGAAGCCCAAGGTCGCAAAGGAGCCGGAGATCAAGCCCAAGTCGTCCATCAAGGAAAAGTACTTGGCTCGGGAGAAAGAGAAGGAGAAGGAGAAAGAGAAACAAAAGGCCGCGGTGAATGTGAAAGAAGTGAAGGAGGCGCCCACGGCTACCGCTCCAACCACTTCTGCACCTTCGAGCTCAACACCTCGCCCTGTCGCACCTTCCAAGCCCAGCATGCCTGGTACTGACGCTCCAGAAATTCGCACCAAGAAAGTATCTGCTCCTGAAGGCAACTCCAACCCACGTGCGAAGCCCAAGATGTCTGGCCGCGAGTCACAGAGGGACCGTCCTACCAACAGGCCCTTCAAGCCTACCATGCCAATCAACACCAAACCGAAGAATCCTTCACCGCTTTCCGCCTCACCGCCTGTAAATGCCAGCGACTTTGAGGACTCACACCCAGTTCACAAAGCTCTTGCTGCCGCTCCATCGCCCGCCAAAACCGCTGCTGGCAACTCGGATAGCTCGCTCAAGCGCAAGGCCAACAACATCGACAGTGATATCCACAATCACCTCGCCGTAAAGAAGCAGCATGTCGACCGTTCGACTGCAACCCACACACCCTCGCATGCCAACAGCAAAGCCACTGGCTCTACGCCTTCCAGTACCAGCTCCGTGAAGCGCAAGTCTGACGATTCATCCTCGTCCAACACCCCCTCTACCGCGCCCAAGGTCCGCAAGGTTGCCAACATCGACACCGGCCTTGCTTCGCGCTATCATCACAATAACCCTCGCGCATCTCCAGGCGCTTCATCAACCTCGACTACCTCACCCTCGATGCCCAGCTTGAGTTTCCGCCAAACTGTCGAGCTTTCGCAGAAGTTCCAGAAGTACTACAAGAGATACGAAGAGCTGTACTGGAAGCTGACTGAAGCGGAGAAGCCGCCGACTGAAGCACAGAGGAACGACCTCCTAAAGATGCATAAGAAGCTTGAAGAGATGAAGAAAGAAATCAAGGCTGGTGCCGGCGTGCACCGATGAAGACTCACGCCACCCTGTCGTCTACGACACTGCGCCTAGTGCGCGCATGATTTACCACAGTACAGCTTGCATATATACCCACGGCCTACCAGTCCCATGAGAATGGCGGCGATTTGCATACCCAAAAAGGCGTTTCGGATCTTTTCTATCAATGGCGTTTGTACGGCAAGACTTGTGAAGGATGCATTGGGGATATGGTGTCTTGCATAGTTATTTCTCTTTCTACGTCTATCAATACGTATGGGTCGTTATGATCGCTCGCTACATTCACGACCGCGATGAGTTTTTAATGCCGTTGGTCATGTAAAAAAAAAAAAGTTGTTTACAACCTCCGCATCAGTATAGCATCTGAATCTCGAATACTCACGAATCAATGCTGTCTTACACAATCCACCAAATGTCTTCTAATATTACGTGAACTCCCAAATGCACATTGCCACCATGACCCACTGGCGACCACGAGTGCTGACGAAACCTCACTAGCGCCAGACGCTTCGTATTCGATCAAAGGGCCGCAACCTGCAGAAAAGTTCCGCCTAACATTTCAAGACATGTAGGAATAATTACTGCAATAGACTCGACACTCCCACCGATCCTCGCAGTCGCATCATAGAGTCTAGATCAGCGCATTGCCGATCGCGCCCCTCCGAGGCCCGCAACCCGGCAAACCTGTGCGGCGGCTACCATGGTGTAACAGCCGATCGGGCAACCCCATGGCTGGGGATCTGCGGCAGCTGCACCCCTGGCAAACGTCATCCATCCAGCCCTACGCGCTAAATCTCCGCTTTAGCACTTTCTTGACGCCATCTTGAGCACCACATTTCACGAACCATAAACGTATAACCTACGTTTGCTCTCCTTCTCCCTCATGCGGATCCTACGCAATCTAATTAGCAATTTCACACGTAACGCTCCAAAACGCGACTTTGCTCACGTTCACGACGTGCAGATCAAGTGGGAAAGAGTACCGGCACAGAACGGGAAAAAGCAAGAGCAAGAAGCTGGCAATATGTCTTTGAACGGTATGTACATGTTGTGATTGAGTATTGGGGGGGGGAACCGTGTATCAGAACTGTGCATTGGGCATTTCAGATGTTTCGAGTCCAAACGGTTACACCATGGCTGCATCCTGTTCATTTGCATGAAACAGTTTCGTCGTTGGACTGGAGAGATCTCCAGGCACGCGTTTCAGCGCCCCCAACGTCACGCCGTTTATGCAGTGCTACGAGAGAAGCTGGGGTGTTGTTTGCGACCTCTACGATGAACGCATCTTTGTTGCTGCGAATCGCAAGGACCCAGTTCCACAAATTCACTCACTAACTAACGCTTTACACTAGTTTTCAAGCAACCCCTCGCGCTTCACTCCACACAGCCTTTGACCGGATTCACCCGTTCAGGCTACTGTGAGGTACCCGCATCAGATGCTGGCAACCACGCCATAGCAGGTATCGTGTCAAAAGAGTTCCTCGACTTCTCTGCCGCACGTGGCAACGATTTGCGTCAAGTAGGACTTACGGATGGCTGCAAATGGTGCCTTTGTGTGAACAGGTGGAAAGAGGCTTTTGACGCTAGGACAGGCATGGATGACAAGAAGGTTCCCAAGGTTGTCATGAAAGCGACGAATGAGAAGGCGTTGAAAGGGGTGAGTATGGATGATTTGAAGGCTTTTGCTGTGGACAAGGAGTAGGGTAGGATGGGATTTGTCTAGCAGTCACTCCCTCGTTCTATCGAACACGACGGATCAATTACAGATCCAGACGTAATTACGCGTCCTATGCTTGCACAGTCTCCTGTTCGTGTCACTCTCTCTCAATGACTTCCGTCCAGTCATCGAGTGACTTGCTTAAATACTCCAGATGCGTCTCTGGCATTTCCATCAGCAGCTCTGCATGCGTCAGTTCGCCAAGCCAGGCCATGATAGCAACTTTTTCTTTGCTACGAATATCTCTTTGTGTATCGTCGGGACCAGCATTATTCGTGTGGGTGGTGTTGACGGTAGTAGTATTTTCGGAGGTTGTGTTGATTGCGGTAGCTGTCGTGGAGATACTGTCGGAAGCGTTCACGGGGGCATGGTTGGCGACAATAGCGTTGATGGTGAAAAACGCATTCTCCTGATTTTTCCCCCACAGCCTGACTCCGGCGTAGTAGATTTTGGCTGACACCCTGCAGGCCTTGGTATTGGAACGTCTTTCACAGATATAGTAGAGGTCGTCCCTGAAGTGGACGTCGATTTTCTTACGAGCTTCCTACGAACATTATTAGTCATATAACCAGGAAATTAAGACAATGAAAGCAGGCATGGAAAGATCGGGGAAACCCTACATGACTGAGCCGATGCTGAAGCCGAAAGTTCTCATACGCGAAATCATGGCGTATACAAGCTGGTTTGACTGAGTTTCGGTATGTTAGTCTTTTTTTACCTCATATAGTTCCGACTCAGGATTAAAAGCACAACTTACAGTCCCAGCCAAACGGCGAATCATCAACACCAGTACAGGCGTCGCTCCGCCAGCTTAGATCAGTAAATCCGTACTCTCCCACACATCTCTTCCACATGACCATGAAATCATCGAGGGAATAATTAAAGACCTAAAAATTTTCGTCGTCAAAAGTTAGTCTGCACTTGATGTATGATATGTATATGAACGCAACATACCATGCGGTTTACAATTTGTTGTTCCCATGTGTGGGGTTCGAAGTTTCTATGCACGTCTGCTAAGCGGTCGGCTTTGCTTTCTTTGTGGGCGCCTACGCAAGGAAGGACGTAGCCTGTGAGTGCGAGGGGGTTGAGGAAGAAGGTCTGCAGCCTCATGGTTGGTAGTGAAAAGGTAGGAATGAATAGAAACGATGGGATTCAGAAATCGAAAAGAATTTAAAACTATTCCAAGGGTCAGTAGGACCCAGTAATACCTTTTGCGCCAGTTAGGAAACGCCCATCGCTAATGCTTAAGAAGATGACAAAAGAACGGTCCCAACAGTATTACAATCCAAGAATCATGCCTAGCATGACGACTCCATAGCCCCAATTAGCTAGTCACCTTCTTTCCCATGTACCACAACTCATACTCAGCCGACCAATAGACCCTTGACTCCACTACCGACCCAAACCAAACTTCTCGCAGCGAGCAAGCCAGGTCCAGCATAGGCAGGCGGACCAATTCCCTTGAGTCCACCAATCCCTCTAATTTCCATATCTCCAGCAACAGGAACATTAGTCCTACCCTTTTGTAGAATGGCGAATCGGAGGAGCACTTCCAGACACGTTATGCAGATACTCAGCACAATGAGCGCAATGACAATCCACGTGATCTTGGTCATCTTCTTATCGCTAATGGAATCAGATAGTATCTCGCCCAGATCAAGGAAGACCTGGCAGCGCTCGTTGAGAACTTGGATACGGGGTTTGATCTCGAGGTATTCGCGCACAGCGGTATATAACGGATGAAGGGTCGGCTCCGAGTCCCAGAAGAAGCTTGGGGTGTCGAGCATATTCGATGCTACAAGGGTCATTAGTAACGGATGGGGGTTGAAATAGTGGACTGGATACGTACATAGGTTCACTTCGACACGGCTGGTGAAGAGCTGTCCAATCATCTTGACCACGTCTGTCCTTCCCATACCCAGTTTGCCCGTCAACGCTAAGCGTTTGGGTACGTATTGCGCAGCCAGCATGGTCCGGCTCATACCCTCCTCGAAGAGACTTAGCTTGGTGCTCTGTGCAATGGCGTGGCTCATGGCTAGCTTGATCATATGATCCCCGCTCTTGAGCGTAATCATGTCGTTGTACACACGCGGGCGCTGAATTTCTGGGTTGTATTCAAAATGGAACTCTTCAGTCTCAAAGTCGGACTCGGTCAAGGGTCGTGTTGCAATGGTGATGCCGGTAGCAATAGCGGAAAATGTGAGGTCAGCCAGAATGTCCTTTTCCTGCTTCTCGGTGAAGTTCCAAAAGACTACGACGCCGTACGAGAAGACGAACATCTCGCCAAAGGTCAGGGCGTTGGGCGCAATTCTGGAATTCTCGGTCGAGTCTCGGCGATCGTGCATGCCGTCCCAGGGTTGGTCGAGCTCGTGGTCGTCGCGTACGTAGTAGGTCTCCTCGTCGCCAAAGTAGCCTTCGTGGTGGTCGCGCTGCTCGTTGCGCTCGATCTCTTCGTCGAGCACCGTCTTTCCACCCGGGCTCTTGAGCGCAGGGCTACTGCGCACCCGGTAGCCGTCGCTGCCGGGCAACAACGGGAGATGATAGACGGTGTAGAGACAGTCGTCGTACAGCTTGGTGCGGGCATTGTGTGTGTCCTTTACGAATTGGGCGGTGCTCTTCATCTTGTAGGCTTGGGCGGTGCAGTAGGCGGTGACGCGCGAGAGCTTGTCCGTCCGCTTGGCCTTGGGCAGACGCTCTGCATAGCTCTTGTCGTTGGGACCGCCTTTGGGGGTCCGTCGCGCAAGGTCTTCGTCTGTGGGCGGGCCTTCGTGTTCGTCTTCGTCAAAGTCGCCCTTCTCGTCGTCCTCCTGTCCTGCTGTCTCGGGCAGAAGCACGAGTTTTTCGCTGAGCTTGCTCGATCGGGTGGGTATGTGCTGGGGTATCAGGCGACCGGAGAGTCTGGGATCGAGCGGATGCCGTCCGCTAGGAGTGCGAGTGTGCATCATGGGTCGGCTGCCACTGCCAGGCGGGCCGCGTCGCTGCTGTTGTGAGGGAATGTCCGAGGCGTACTGCAGGATGTTGTCGACCGAGATCAATCGCGCGCCCGTCGCCTGTCTCTGCCCCACGCCTGGTCGTTGGGGTGCTCGAGGTGCCGTGTCGCGGGCATCTGTCATGAGCACAGTCGGCCCTCTCTTGCTCTTAGCTGTTGGTCCGCTCATTTTGCTGGCTGCTGCAATCCACTCCGCTAGTGGCCGTAGTTGAACGAGAGGTTGGCACCGCCAATGTCGCAGTCACGAGCAATTGAGAACCGGGAGACGCTGATCGTGGATGCTCGGCAAAGTGATTGGATAGGGATGCGACAAACTGCGACTGTTGCGGCGCGTCCTTGGCCGATGATGGACGTCGAGGTACAATTCCACCTGGTCAAACCCGGCCGCGGTTCACGTCATTGCGCCTTGGCGTGCATGCAGCCTTGCAGCTCCACTCCACATGCCAACGGCTCGCCAAACATCTTGCGCTTGACTACTTTCACATGTCATCTGACCATTGCTGAAGAATACTATCATATATTGGGTGCTCTATCTCGATTGAGACTCGCTGTTGGATGTCTCATCATGAACGCCCCAACACCATGCTCCAGACTGAGAACAGCCCTCCATAACCAGAACATGCTCAATTCAAGATTTGGTTCAAAAACAAAAGAAAAGCCTGCTGTAGGTCGTACGGCGACGAAGCGAGGGGGTATCTTCTCCATGTCCCCGCTGGTCCTTGAATTACCTCCGCGCTTCTCCTTCCGCCGCCTCCGGGACTGATCCCATTTTGTGCAGCTGAAAACGCCAGAAAAACAAACAAACATTACATCGGATACCACAAAAAGACCGTGTAACCGCCTTGAATCACAGGCGCTTACCGGGAACGAAGATGAAGAGGCAGCAAATAGCTACTGTAACGGCCAAGAACATAACCAGAACAGTGAGCGAGCGCCTGTTCAATGTCTTCTTGACAAACGGCTCCCTAATCTTGTTGAAGTCGAAGAAGGTGTACTCGCTGTATCCGGCAATGGCGATGATGGGGTCGAGCATGTACTGGTGTGTGAATATGAGATAGATAGCGATGGTGAATGGAAGTATGATCTGCGCACAGCGTTAGTTGACATTCCTAACAAAACAGTGGGGGACTGCATACCCAGCAGCGTGTTCCTCTTGACTTGTCCAAGAAGATGAGAATGAACGAGGTCCATACAGCGGCGAAGAAGCTGATCAAACCTAGGATAAGACGCAGCATCATACTCTGGGGAACGAGGTTGCCAAGGCCCTTGTTCTGTAAGAAACCTGGATATGCGTCGCGCTCCATGGCTTGGAAGACGTAGTCTTTGGCATTATCGAAAAGCTCGGGATCGGCGCGCTGCTCCTGTCCCTCAATGGCTTCTTGTACCTCGGCGAGTATGCTCTGGGGAATGATGATTTCTCTCTCTGAGCCAGGAAGCAGATAGGTGTACAAGATCTTCTCGGCCGATGCGCGCAAATCCTCTCTCCGTGGTTGTGAATTGTCAATGGATGAGTTCTGGCCAGGCGAACTCGAATCGCCCGGGGTATCTAGTAAATTCAGGCTTGGACGCGGGAACTCGCGGCTCTGATTGCTACCCTGACTGTTCTGTGGAGAGTGGTTTCGGCTTGGGTGGTCAGAACGAAGAAAGGCAGACAAGCGCTGGTCAGACATGTTGTCTGCTTTCTCGTTAGAGGGGCCTTCTCCAGCGTTGTCCAATATGTAGGACGAACGCTTGGAATTCCTCTCAAGATCTGGTGTCTCCTCAATCATGCTCCTGTGTAGTCGTCGCACATAGAGCCGACATAGCTGCAGGTGTTGCGATACATCGAGCCTGATGGTTGTTAGCCTCATCCGCTGACCCGGACGCCGAGTGGTTGGCTTACCAGAAGTCCAAGTAGTCGACAGACCGTTGCTGGTCTCGCATGTAGATGTAGAAGGAGAAGAGGTCTAGCGGTGCTGTCGTCTTACGACTGAGCACTTCGAACAGCGTTGGGAAACGGTTCCGCGTTTGCCCGGGTTGGTACTGGGCATCGTGGTGGTCCTCGTAAGACATGATTGCTGTCGGCTCGGGGATGTACTATGGTAACGAGAGGCGCGCGACAATGGTCGCTGTGACGTGGATAATGGCAGTTATCGATAGACGCAGGGTCTGGCGTAGGGCTGGCGCCCGGCGTGCCGGCGAGTGTTTGCTTGACTAGTGCTGTGGTTGCTGAGCGAACGACGGGGAGCTTGACGGTCGGGCTGGTCGGAGCTCCAGGGACGACGTGGTGGGAGTTGGAGAGAAGCAGGCGACGACGAGTATGGCCGTGGGGGAGAGGTGTGTACTGGGCGTCGCGTGCGCCTCGACGTGTTGTCCAAATTGGCGTGAAGGCGGGAAATTAGGAGTGAGGTCGGCACCTCTAGCTTGGCGCGACGGTTGGTGGAGCGAGCGGCAGTGGCTTGCGATGGAGTTGAGTCGCGCACTGCACGATGGGGGGTGACGATAAGAAGCAACAAGTCACATGAAACTGCCGTCGGCTACCTATGCGCGTCCGAGTCGTTCAGATGAGCCCGTGGATCAATTGTGCGTGTTGCTGATGATGATGATGATGGTGATGGGGCGTGAATGATGCAGTCCGTGTTCCTGAAACGCGAGGCAGGTCGAGAAGGGCCGCGACTGCCATCTTCACGTGATGATCCCTGCCACACCATCACTCACCAACAGCCTCAAATGGCAATTGTTGAGGACGATGATGAACGGAACTTGGAGGGCGCTCTCGGAAAGTAGACAGTCGCGTCTGCCATCGTAATTCAATGCGCTTGTACAAGCCATGGACTTCCTTTTGGCGATCATCGTCTTTCAAGTCCAGTAGAGGGATCTGTGGACGTTTGAAGCTACTGCTTGCTTCTGCGAGTGCGACCAGTGTATAAGACGAGCAGTCCTGTACAGAAAATCTCACATGACCTTGCTGGACATGTCCAACAAGAGTCACAGACAGCACATTAGCCACTTGATGTCCACATGAGGCGAAGCCACCCCAAGGCAGCAGCCTTAGGAGGCTTTGACCGGTTTCACAGCCCGGCACAACCTTTACATAGCCGCAAGCACTGCACTTGATTTTGATAAATGTTTCCTTTGCGCGTGATTCGAAGTTTCACTACACGAATAATACCAACAATGGCAGCTAACAAAGTATTGCCTGCGGGCTTCAAAGAGGATCTTCTTCGCACTCAGAAACGTCGAGAACCCGTCGAGTCCAGCCCTGCCCCTTCCACTTTCGCCCTCCCCAATGGATTCCTCGAGGGCCCAGCGCCCAATTTAACCAAGTCCAAAATTGATTTCAGGAAGGCTGGAATACTAGAGAACGAGAATGCATGGGCCGTCATACTTGATGGTGTTCTGTCTGAGGACGAGTGCAACACCTTAATACAAGCAGCAGAAGCGACTACTAACGGCACGTGGGAGAGAGCCATGGTGAACATTGGGGGCGGAATGCAAGCCATGTATGAAGACACGAGAAAGTGCGGTCGGATCATCTGGGACAATAAGGACATCATGGCCAAGTTATGGGAAAGAATAGAGGCGTCGGTGCCTGAAATCCATCGCTTGCAGAATTGGGCGCTTGTCACAGGCAATGGTCCAGCGAAACGAGGAGAGACTTGGAAAGTAACGAGACTGAATGAGCGTGGACGCTATCTCAAGTACACTGGTGGAGAGTATTTCAAAGGTATGTTTTGCATTGGATTCTAAGATTGTAGCTACTAACTGAGTCAGCGCATTGTGATGGCACGTACGAGACGCCAGACCGCACCGAGCGCTCATATTTCACCCTGCACCTTTACCTGAACGATGCAGTACTGAGCACTGGGGAAAGGCAGCTCGAAGGCGGCGCCACTACATTCTTCAACGGTCGCATGAACCAACGTATCGACGTTGAGCCAAAGGCTGGGCGCGTCCTGCTCTTCCAGCATCGCTACCTTATACATTCTGGTGACGACGTTGTGAAGGGCACCAAGTATACGCTACGGACGGACATCATGTACGCGATGGAGAAAGACACAGCATCAGAGCCAGAGTAGACAATTCTAGCGGAGGATGAATGGAGGATCGCGCAACGTGTGGTCGCTCAGGTTTGGTGAATTCGCATGGTTTTTTGTTAGTAGTATCCTTGAACTGGAGTAGATCGCGCACATTGCGCACTTACATAGTGAAAAAAAGTGAACGGCCTGCCTCGCCAGAGTAATCAGAATCGAATGATACCGTGCCCTCTTTCGCCCAAGGGCTACTCAAGGTCAAGTACGCTGCGTATTGTACTACAGTGTCACCTCTCTCCCAAAGGATCAAAGCACACAATCTTCGCACCGACTCCCATAGGGACACCAGTTCCACAACACTCCCACCGAAGTGGGAGCGCGCTTTCTGGGCCCTGAGTTTTCTGATGCCGGATGCAGACGTGAGTCACGCCAGGCTCTTACGAGCAGTACAGCCACAAGAGGGCTTGATGATAGTGAAGATTACTCCGAATTTCTCATTTGCAGGGTAGGACGAGCTCCGTGAGGAGAGTCTGTATGTGTGCAAAGAAACGCAGCGTTGGCAAGGCAGGCCGTTGTAGAAGCAAGAAACATTTTTGGAGGGGTTTTGTAGCTCGCACGCCGGCGCGCTAGCGTCGGCTAAAACTGCGCCCGTGACGCCAATCCACGTGGGACCCGTCCATCTCCTCGTATGCTTGCCGCACTCATCATCTTGTCCTTCGCGTTACCTGTCCTGCTCTCACCTACTGTCTAGAGGTACCGGGAGCAACATCTGCTTGGACTCACGAAGTGGCTATGACGTCTTCGATGACTGAGTTGATTTCTCGCGATGCATTCCAGAGGGCAATCCTCCTTTAACCAAGATTTACCAATCACTGATGCATTACCGATCGTCAGGTCTCAGTTCATGCATGTTGTGATCATGCTGTGAAGTGATTACGCTTTGCAATTCACACGACTGTTTGCTTCGCTATTCGGTATATCTGGCCTCCTTGTATTCTCTCCTTTAAATATTCATATTCTTCTACACGTTACCATTACGCAACTGCATTACTACTCCCGTCTCCCTAAGGCGTTCAACGAAGTTTCGACCAGTTCCTCGGACCAGAGCAATCATGTTCACCAAGATCTTCGGTGTCTCGAGAACAACTTTCCTCATGTTTAATGTCGTTCGAGCTAGCGACCAGGATAAGTTCAACGATAACAAATGCATTTGGTGTACGTACTACTTGGTAATGCAATATGATACATATGCTAACTCGCCTAGGCTGGGGCCCATACGACGAAGACCATCCTGCTGCTCGCGTGCGGACTTGCGGCCACGTATTCGGACGCGACTGTCTCCCACAAATAACCAAGGGCCCGACCGGTGATCTTTGTCCTATCTGTCGATCTCCATGGTTCCGGACCGATACTCTGCCTCTCATGTTACAATTCCTCAATCGCTTCTTTGTGAACCCTTTAGTGAATTTGTTAACTCCGATCAGGCTCACCTTATACAAGATCGAAGCTAAACTTCCGCCTTGGGTGCTGTCCATAGGACGCTTTTTATTCTACGCAGGCAATGTGTATCACCAAATCGACTACATGATCCGAGCTTTCACCGGCCTATATGCAAGGAACCCAGGTTTGCGTTCCTTTACCATGTCTCCGGTGATACGACATGAAAAGTGGGACAGGTTCTTGATTCTCACTTGCTCCTACCTTGCGACTCGAACAACAAAACCAACCGCGATTAATATAGGTGCGGCTTCCCTGAGCTTACACGAGGAAGTTCTGGTATGTGCAGTAACGTCGATCATGTTCAAAGTCTACATTCTATTGAAGCACGGCGCACACCGTCAGCTCAAAAGTCGGCGGGATTGTGCTATCTTCGGATTGATCACGGGTCTGATTTTGACGCTCCATTGGTTAGCAGCTTCCATGGTATTCAAGATTGTTATTAAGAACCACCAACAAGCTGGAAACCGTAGGGTAGAAAATCTCGAAGTCGGTAGAGACCTATGAGTCGGTGGAAAATCTGGACTTGGAGATAATTTTGGGAGACACCGATAGAAAGCTATTGAATAGTGAGATGGTACGGAACAAGTCTGACATCTGCAGTAAAGCAGCAGACGGGTATACTTGTCGGATGGAGCATGTGGGTTTATACTGATCAGGTGTCTTTTCGGGCATCTCACGGCATCGACTTATCACACATGCACTTTCACGAAGCGATGGGTTTCCATTATGGTTCGTGCTTAAGAACAAGAATCCTAGACAGATTTCCTGTGTACTGTATTCTAGATCGCTCTCGCAAGTTGCGTCGACTATCTTCCAGGTCTACTCTGATATGACTCAAAGAATGGATATTGTTGTGTTCATCATACTAATAAGCCATTCCGTGGCTGTACTTCCAACCACATCTCGCAGATCCACTCACTTATCAACCAAGTTTCGCATGTGGTACACTTTTCATTCGTCCGATTCGAAAGACTGGTTGCGCGGTACCGAACCTCTCCAGTGCTATACCACGCTCTCGTCTACCCACCATTTACTCAGCCTCGCCGCACAACTTACATTCTATATTTTCTCAAATCAATTGAATCTACTAGGTTCCCATCTCAAACCACATCATGCTTGAAACCATCCTCGGTCGTCGCGGCATCACGAAAGAAGAATTCCTTCAAACACGAATCCTCCTCGCAAAAGCCACCGACAAGTTTAACGATAACAAATGTTGCTACTGCTGGGAACCTTACAACGGTAGCAGCCACCCTGGCATACGCTTCCGACCCTGTGATCATATTGTGGGACGCCCATGCCTTTTCACAATCATCAACTCGCCCGGTGGTCATACCTGCCCCATCTGTCGGAGCATTTTGTTTCAGCCACCACCAGCCGCTGTCGAAGACGAAGACACAACAGACTTCAAGAACTGGCACCCTTGGGTCTTGATCGGTTCGGGGTTGTTTGCCTTCGCAACACTAGCATGGCGGGGATTGACTGACAAAGGATGCTTGATTGAATGAACCGGTTTCGAAAAATGCTAGCCGAGCGTTTAACACGCTTTGATGGTATATACCATAGACTGAGTAAATGGATTGCCTCTCACTATTCTTAGGACCTATTCCACAGCGGCTTCTCGCTACAGTTGTAGCGAAGCAAGCATGACACGCACACCAAGCGGAAACTCACAAACAACATCGATCTCGACTTGCACCGTCCTTTCGCAATTTCGTGCTTGCCATAGTGGCCGACACCTGCAATACCTCTTTTCGCGAGAGCAACCGAGTATGGAGTTATTTCAACAGCGCCGGTCCGTAGGGTGCTGAGCAGATTTAAGCATGCGCAGAATGCCCTTTTCGTAGGCTCATCATAGATTTGTGTAGACGTGTCTTCTCGAATGAACGCACATTGATTTGAGGAATATGAACACTCGTCTTTGCATGCTCACTGGAAAGCGATATAGATGGCAATATAACACTATCCTACCACACCCTTGGCTGATTTTGCCGCGCGGGCATTACCTGAGCTCGAACACCGCTCTTGTTGTCCCATCTTACCCAATTCATCCCCATCCTACCATTACTTTCACGGTTTACTCCCCTCGCACGGTCATGAGCCACACCGTAACTTGATACTGCCGGCAGGCTATTCATCGGGAAGTCGGGAGCAACAGCCATCGTATTCGGATCAGGTGGCCCGCTCGCTTGCCATTCAACCTTGATAGAGTTGTCTTTCGACAACTTGACGCCATTGTGCCATAGTTCGAAAGACACATCGGCGGCACCAAGGTTTACTTTGACGATGTAGTTGATGCGATGGTATTTCGGGCCGGAGTTCCACCAGTGTCGGTTCTTCAGTTTGAAGAGAGAAAGTGGGAGGGATGAGAAGTCTGACTCGATCTTGCAGATCGAACGACACGCTGGAATCATTAGTACGGCTCATCATATTGCAACAAGGGTGTATGTACCACTGTTCATCACTATCGGAAGCTGAGATCTGTCGACTTCAGTACAAATCACCTCCGTAGGGTAAATCCTTGGCGGATTGGGATTCTTGGACGTGGCTGGCGGGCACTTTCGTTGAAAGCTCTTGACTATCGGATGATCGCTTGAAACGGGTTCGCCCTAGGCTGATCAGCTGTCTGCCATCATTCCAGGCTATCAAAGGGCTTTACCTGCTTGATGAACCAGTCGATACAGTTCATGATATACGTTTTCTTGTCCAGAGGATCCACTTCGGTCTTGCTTCCTTGATGCGCGGGGTCGTAAGGATCGTACAATATCTTACACATAGTACCGTAAGATGCGCGGCTGCATCGCCATCCAAGAACCGACTGTCCAGTCTTGAGTTTCTGAACGCGATCAGCCACATTGCCCTTGCAGACAACTAGTTGAGGATCAGGAGCAATGCGGATCTGCATATTGTGTGCATTGGAGTGTGGTGTGTTACCAGATGCGTATCGGCTTCGTAAACAATGTTGGACGTATGCAGAGTTACCGAGGCCTCCACTGAGGACGAGATGAGACACTTGTTCGGTAGGATGTTTCTGTCGGACACGAGAGAGCTGTTTGTCCATCATGTCAAACAGTTTCGATACCTGAGTGTCGAAAAAACCTTTCAAGTCGTCTCTTCGAAAGTACATGTCTCCGTCGCTGATGGCATAATCCCGGTTTACGTAACCTCTGTCGAGTTTAGGTATTCGCACTGCGAAAGTCTCGGTGTCCATTAGAGACTCCTCCGAACCATAGTCGCACTTCGCGTTCTGGTATTCCTTCGAGATTCGCATCTCCCATGCAGCTTGATTGATATCATTTAGTCCCATTGGTTGCAGGCGGTCTGCATGCTGTAGTCGCTGCAGCACCTCCTTCTCGAATAAACTGTCGAGTTGCGCGGCTCCGATAGTGGCTCCGAAAACTACATCGATCTGCTCAAGACTGAGAGAGCTACCGTGTATATTCTTCACGCGAAAGACTGATAGATCTGTTGTTCCTCCGCCTACGTCGCACACAAAGAGTATCTCGTTCTCCTTGAAGATACCTGGCATGCTGCGCGCTGTGTGCACTGCAGCCGCCTCTGCTTCTGTCAACCCAATCGATGCCGTGTGGTTGACGCATGAGCCGAATCCAGCCGCCGAGATTGTCTTCCTGAATCGCTCTACAGTTGGTATCGGCTTCCAAGTCGTAGGTACCGAGAAGATGAACTCGATGTTCGCGTCTTCCCATCGGCTCGCGAGCTCCCCTCGTAGTCGTGCTTCAATGGTACGGTATAGGTATCGGAAGTAATCAGTGTACCTGTGATATTGATTAACCGATTACAAAGGCACATTTGGACGACTTACTCACCATTTCTCTACTTCATGTATGTGTGGTACTTTGTTAGGCTCACTGGACTTTCTCCGCATCTGGTCTAGTAGGTCCTCGTCCAGCATAATCTTGAACCACTCCCGGCTCTCGTACCCAGCACCACTAGCTTCCTGTGCGGTTTCGGCTAGAAAGCCCCATGATGACGGTGTTGCTGAGTCTTGTGGGTATACGAGCAATGTTGGCACCTGAAATGAGTAAGTTGAGGTCCTTTGGCGTGCGATCGATTCCTTACTTTGTTCTCGTTTGCCTGTGTCCTTCCTGGCCACCGCTGAATATGCCGAACACTATCAGATCCAGTCGCTACATTACAATACGCAACACCAGTACCTGATAGCGATATGAGTATTGCGATATCGGCGACCGACAAGTCTATACTCACATGTCATCCCAAAATCAATGGATACAACCAGATCTGGCCGGGACTGGAATCCTTCCATGGTGAACGTATGTGTTGTGAGAATGGTTGATGATGAGTCTGTGACTGTATCCCACTGGGGTTATGTTTGTGCAGTTTCTTAGTCAAACAATGGTCATTCTAAGAATATATGAATTCTGGATTTTGAAGATCTGTGAGGCCGAGATGCGATAGATCTTGGTCTCTGGACGCAAACAACATATTTCCAGCTCAGCCTCGCGCTTCAACTCAGCCCACAAGTCGACACCGATCTAGAAATCCATAGCGTGGGGCCCGCTTTGATGCCGCGTCGTATGTGATGGTGTTGCACAGATTTTGTTTGGTGCGACGGAATGAGACGCTGCCGGAGTACGCCACATTACCTCGTACCGATGACCATTCGATAGTCCTACATTCGGACCCCACTTCATGCAGCTCGACGCTGGGTTGCTGGTTTCTGCCTCGTCAACATTTACCAATTCCGGCGAAAACCAATATCATCGGATTCTGTAGTCTGCCGCGCTATAGTACAGCTGAGGTGTGCATATCTCTGACCAGGCTGTACTAGCGAGCGTCGGTACAGACGACTTATAGCGCAGCATCGCAAATTCGGTCGGAAGCAGTGTCAGTATCTTTGCTCTTCTATTATTTCCAGAAGTCCCATGATGGTTTATCTCAAGAGCGCAATCGTGCAGAGGCAGGATGCAAGAAGTTCAGCAGCGCCGTCCATTTCAGTGTCGAGCGCAACACCTTCACCGGGCCAAGCTGAAGGAACAACACCCTCGGCAACGCCATCATCAACACCGTCATCGACATCACTGCCATCAACAACACCCCCCTCTGCATCTGTAGCTTCTATAGCCTCGCAAACCCCCAAGCCAGGTGATGTCACGTCCAGCTGTTCCCCGTATTGGACAAACGCAACGCTGGTGCCGTGTCCTACGGCTACGGCCCCCGCTGTACCCACAAACAATGCTGCCTCCACGCCCACATCCGTGGCTAGTAAACCTGCCGCGATTGACAGCACGGCAAGTGGAGGTCCTAAAGCCTCGGATGGCCCATCGTCGGTTCAAAAAGGGCTTTCTGGAGGTGCGGTTGCCGGAGTGGCTATCGCAATGTTACTCGTCGGATTACTGATCGCTGGAGCTGTGTTCTTCTTCTTACTACGCCGTCAAAAGAAGAAGCGGTACAACTTAGTCCAGACTCAACCAGCACCCCATGCGCCCATCAATGATGCTACTAGAACGTTGGAGAAAGGACCAACAGCCGTAACCAGCGCGTATGCAATGAACATCGACGATATGCTACCCCAGCCCGTGGCAGACGACACTATCACAGACGCAGTCTTGAAGCTACGGGACAACATCAAGAACCACGTTCGCACCTATTATCATCTCTCTCCCATCCCGGCAGCCAGTGTCAGTCAGGCACATATGGGCCAACTAGCAACCGCAACCGGTACAAGCTCTGCTAGACTTGCAAGCATGCTTTCGAACACCTCAACCAGAGCCGAGACACTTCGCCTCATTCTTGCCTGGATTGTGCTATCGAGATGTACAGGAGGACGCGATGAGAGCCTGCTGCCCCGAGAACTTGCGGCAATCGACATGGTCATACCAGGAAAGGATGGCAGCAATACTGGTAAGTTTAATCTCAGCCTCACCAACTCGGTAAGGGAAGCTAAAGCCACGAATCAGCCCAATCAGCCATGTACAGCAAATGGAAAACCGTAACTGGAACTCTGCTGCATGAGCGAATTAGCCAGAACAAACAAGACTCGGATCGTAAGCAAAAATTTGCCATCGCGGTTGCAGATCTGGACTCTATTGTGGCGCCCTTTGTGCAGAGTGGCTTGGAAGCTCAACGCAGCAAGAACCTGGACATGATTCTGACGCGATCTGCAAACTTCGCGTTCCTACTCTTTTCACAGCCTGGTTCATTCAAATTTGAGTTCTTGAGCGAACATGGAGGTTTGGTAGTATTTCCAGGCCTGGTACAAACGATTGGAGACCAGGGGCAGGTGCTGGGGCCCCCGCGCGTGCTGCTGGAAAAGGAGATTGCGACATGAGCATCGTGACGATGAAGCGAAGATGGCGTTTAGCGGATAGCTTGTGCAGTATACAATGCAATGATCGTGCGGCTGAGACGCCTTCGGGTTATTGCTAAGGGTCGTGAGCTGAGATGCTAGGTAGAGTGACGAGGCTGGGAGACGAGGTTAAGGTTTCCTTTTTCACTATGCTTCATATGTCTTAGCGTTGGTGCCACTGGCGGAAAGGAGCGTCATGTTCGCTCTCGTCCAATCTGCAAGCCTTCGCCTTGTGAGACACACAACAGTCACTCAGCCGTGCGATATAGATAGTTCGAAGAGCTTCGATCAGGTATTGGTCCGATAATATGACCGCTGGAGTAGCCGAACTATGTTTAGGGATGGGTGCATGACCAGGGCCTGTGGGAAGAAGCATCGAGCTGCTCATCGGTTCTCGAGGCACCGCAGCACAGCATGAGGGGTACCGCAATGCCCGCGTGCTTAGCCTTGCAGATTGAGGCTTTGTTGTATCGCTTACCCAATATTGGGGGTCTATGAGCCGCCCGCCGGCGAGCTGCCATATTCGTGGACTCGTAATTCACGACCTGCGCCCCCGCAGAAGTATAGACATCAGCTGTCGGCAATGAGTTGACGTTTTACCACCATTTCCAGCCAAGGCCTCAAGGATGAACACAGCTATCGGTATGTACATAATACAGTAGAGTGATGGAAGATGTCGCGACGCAGTGCTTACTTTGTGATAGGTGCACCAACAAGATCCGCTAGTGTCAGCAAAGCGTTTAGGTTCGCTGACCTTGCGATACGTAGCGCAGACGTTGGGAGCGAGAGTGAGGTCTTCTTGCGAACGATACGCATCGTTCGCGACGATCTCTTCGAAGTTGAGCGATTAGTGGCTGTTGGTTCGGTGCGGACAAAACTCGCCTATACGCCCGAGAGACTCCCTTGGATCAGAAGTGCTATCGAGAATACTACTTCTGCTTTGGAGGACATTGGAAAATGGGTGGATTGTGGCGATGTCGGACAACATCCTCATGTCTTGGACCAATCTCAAAGACTCCGATACATCCTCAACGACCGCGAACGATTAGGTGATCGCAAAAGCGAACTTGTGGCATGTCATCAGCAACTATCGAACGTCTTGAGCTTCCTCAATCGGCTAGAGGACTTGCCGACCAGCCAGGATCTACCGACATACCAGAACACGACCTATCTTGATGACATCGTATCGAGACATCAAAGAGTGACCAGTGGGCATAAAATGGACATGGCAATTAAGATGACCATGAAAGATAAGCCCCAGACTGTCTGGCGCGATGCTGCTGATAAGACTGGGCCAACGAACAATACCTCCCTCCTTACCGAAGCATTGTTCGCACAAGACATATGGACCACAGATCCAGTAAAGTCGGCTTCGCATTTACTGAGCGATAAGAGGGAAACCAAGTCAGACAACGCCACGTTGGGCTACAACACACTCAACAAGGGATACTCATCACCTCCAAGCCTACCAAACAGCCCACCTCCTCTTTATACATCGGTAGGACAATATAGTCCTCCTTCGCAACCATCCCAAGGAGATACTAAGCAGTATCTCAACACCGATAGTCTGCGGCGCGTAAGTTCACGGCTGTCAATGGAGAAGGCGCATAATCACATGTCTACTACACCGTCAGGGCAAAAAGACACGTGGGCCTACGTACATCCGGACAGGCACCAAGCCCTTGCTGAACTGGCTGGCGATTACACCATGAGTGGAACAAACTCGGACGGACCTGTAAATCCTCATGCGTTTCACCTCGGGATATCAGTTCCAGCGCCAAGATCTACCGTCGTCCATGATAAGAAGGTTGAGACGCTATCAGAATTATTAGGGGATATAAGTCTTGCTGTCGAGCTTCCTGGAAGTGAGCCAGCTCATGCACCAAGTCATATCGCGCGGTTGAGTCGGGATTTATCACAACTTCCTAGCCAGAGATCGCATATGAGTCAGCATGCCAACAAGTATCAGCCATTACTCTCGGAGCTACCAGCTACCCCAACACGCAGACCTATGGTGTCGCATACGGTCAGCGAGCCCACCACCGTCCCCGTTGTCAATGAACTGTCGGTTCCGTCCTCAACATATGAGCTCGATTCTGGACAGTTCCATACACACATGCCTGTGAGTGGCCAACGTCGCCAGACAGCGACCATAAGACCTTGGTCTGTATCTGGTGTGTCTTCAGATCCTCGGCCGTCAACACGCAGTACATCATCGTTAAATCTTCCACCACGCATCCCTCCAGCTACAGAGTTGTCGGGTACTGAGCATGATCGTCCAAGGTCATCACAGGCCACTCAGGCTACACAGGCCGTATACGCTAGCAACAATACCACATCAGCGCGGATGAGACGTCAAAAACATATGTTAGATCTGCTTGGCAGTATTGATAGATGAGAAAAGTTGTACAAGTACGTTTATTGGAGTAATTGGAAGTCTACTTGAACAGGATGCCGTCTTCATGAGGCGATGAGCTTAATCTTTAGTGCTGTACCACTTGTCTAATTGGAGCGGTTGAAATAATATTGAAAGTACACTCCTGACAGTTCCAGTGTTGTTGTAATCTCTTATCTTTCGCACCTATCGGCAGCCGTGAGGATGCATGGTCGCTGCGAATGCTCAGGACGAAGAGATGAGAATGGAGTCCAAAACCGCCCGCGTCCCGCGTCACTTGAGCCACTCGGTCCGCACGTCCCCCACCGCGCACCCAGCTCCAAATTCCTGCTCGCGCGACATCATCGCCCGCCGTCACCCATGTCCAAATCCATCACCACGGTCACTCTACCTTAACAAGCTTCCTCACCCCAAACAAACCATTTGACGACCATTACAGTCGCCAATTACGCACCTTTTCATCACACAAACAGAAAGAGAAAGATAAATTATCAGTCAACATGTCAATGTTCTTCGGTCAAAAACCTCAAATCTCTTCGGAGCAAAAGATTGCGCAGGCGGAAGCTGAGATTGACATGGTGAGCGACATGTACAGCCGGTAAGTTCGGACTCCCAAATTCTGCCTTGCGCATCTTGTAACTCTATATTTGCTCGATTCTCGTCCCACTACTGTCCACGTCTACCCACGGCGACCCTCTCAAATAAGATGAACACTAACACGTCAATTTTCCCCAGCCTCGTCAAGTCTTGCACAGCCAAATGCATAGACACAAACTACCGGGAAGCCGATCTCAACAAGGGCGAATCCGTCTGCCTCGACCGCTGCGTATCCAAGTTCTTCGAAGTCAACGTCAAGGTTAGCGAGAAGATGCAGGGAGAGGCACAAGGAAAGCAGGGTGGAGGTGGCGGCATGTTCGGTGGTGGAATGTAAGGAAAGTCTTGTTATATTGAAGAGGTGAATATGAAAGTTAGGCGATATACGGGCATGTCTAGTTGTGCTTGTGCTGGGCCGCTGGACATGGACATTCGAGGCCAGGACACCTTGCTATGGGGACGGTTGCTGCTGCATAGATCTTTGGAACGGTCGGTGTTCTGGATCAAAATGTTGAAGGATTGCTTTGCCCACTCCGCTTCAGCCTTTGAATGCCTGGATGCCTTCATGGCCACATTCACAGGAATGACATCACGATATGAAGGACATGTACAATACAAAGCTTGTATTTCTAAACCAATCGATCCATCTAACAGGGGTATCTTCCAAAGTTGTACCTCGGTCTCGATACGTGCGTGCAGTCGGACCACTTGTCTCAATGCTCAATTCTTCCACGTACTGGACATCAGGTGATGCTTTCAGCCGACAGTGAGCCAAACCTCGTGTTAGTCCATGATCGCGTGCAATTATAACATCATGAACCGCAAAAACATGCAACCGTCTTGTATTGTACTGTCGTTCTGTCGTGGTACGCTTCTAATGTGAAAGAAGTGACAGTGAAAAGGAAGCGTATGGCAGACCATGGCGCTTCGGGACAAGCTACACGAGCCAGATCCGTCCGACAAGATAGAACTGCAAATGTGGCCAGCGTACCAATGAATCGAAAGGAACACTGGATAGTATGCAAACATGTCCTGTAGCAAAATGCACAGAGCGCTGTTTACGACATACTGAACTTTATTAGCTGTTGGTCCCTGATAGCAAATATGAGCTCCCACTTACTCTCAATGTGCTACGCGCATGGTTGACAAAAGTCCTCAGCGTGTCTCTTCCTCAGGTCCACCGGCAGCAGCATTCGTGAACAGACTTCTAATGAACTTCATAGAACGGGCATCAATCTCTGCTCCGTCAAGTAGCGTATTCAATCGCGCAAACTCAAGCGCAGCACGATCTGCATGAAGTTCCGCGTCGCGAGCACTCTTCTTCGCCTCTAAAGCACTGATGCTGGCGTTATGAGTGTACTCAGCGGCCAGGATGATGCACTGTTTGATTTGTACTGTCAGGAGGAGCTCTTCCAACATGAGAGACCGTGATCGGAGGGCTTCACATACCTCTGCGATCTGTACGTGGCGCAGACGCTCTGGCGAGTCTTTAGGCCCCGCTTCTATGCGATCGACCATATCGTGAAGCATCTCGGTTGTGTTTTTTCGCTTCTCGGGAACCGCTTCCTGTACCAGGGACACTCTGCCGTTATCAGGCGCAGTGAACGTGCCTGTCTGGCTGCTCCTCATATTGACCGTGCGATCCGACCTAACCTCTGACCTCGATGCAGTCTTTCTTGGAAGATGGACCTTGGATAGACTCTTAGAATCGCGCATGACCTTGGCGAGCGAACTTCGTGTAGCACCCATGAATCTTTGCTTGAGAACTGCCGTCTCTGGTGTTTTGACGCGTGCCTTTTCGCGATTGAACAAGCCAAGAATACTGCGTTTGGCCTTGACTTTCGTCGCTAACGCTTCTTTGTTTTGATTCTCCGGAGTGGTGTCATCTGGAGAGGAAGATGAGACCATGGGTGTGTATGGCTGGCGACGCGACGGACGATTCTTAGGCGTTCTGTAGCCCAACGGGATATCGATGCTGATCGATCTGGCTGTTTCCGAGACCTCTGGCTTGAGAGAATCTGGGGTGCGAGCCGTATCGCGTGAATGCTTACCTCGAGGCAAGGATGGCGAGCTCAATTCGGCAGTGCTGATGTTGGGGGCCGAGACATTGTTTCCAGGACGATCGAACGAACCCAGCGAGGGACTTACATCCCCCTGCGTCGATGTTGTCTTTCTAACCTTGCTCACACTGAGGAGGTCATCGGATTCGGATGTGATCGTCAGCTCAGAGATCTCCTCAGGCAGTTCCTAGTTTGCCTGTCAATATTTTCATGTCAAAGGATAGAGATTACATGCCTCGCAAACGTCTACAGGACTAACTGGCGGCTCGGGTGGGTCTCGAAGCGGCGGGGCAGGTGACTTGGGCTCTGGCGTAGGTGTTGCAGACCTGTCTGATACCGACGAGATACTTCGTTCGGCATCCGGGAAAGTCGAATATACTGACGAAGGCGATCTGGGAGAATTGGCATCTAGGCTCGGCTGCCTCGGCGGCTGCATCGATCGAATGGGGCTGATCTTAACGACTGGACTCCCATTTGCCGTGAACTCTTTCGTGCTTGGTACCGGTGACGCTGTCGTGATAGTCAATTCTGCTCGGGATGTTGTCGCCTTGGAAATGCGGCTAGTGAGAGCGCTGAAAGACCGCGGCTGGGTAGTACGCTCCGGGAGGACCAAAGGTATAGCAGGTACGGCCGGGATTGAGTCACGTTGACCTAGAATCATGGCATCTGCATCGCCAGAGATGGTTAGGATAGGACCAGTCCCTGAGCTGGAACCTGAGCCCGACGAATGCCAGGATAGTCGCTTCACCCGAGTACCCTCGTCTCCATTAGTGGAAACAAACGAGCGAGAGGCGACTGGGCTTCGCGTTGGGAGCGAGCTCCTCTTGGAACTCAGACGGGGGGGAATGTTCTCTGGGCGCAGAATCGGGTACTCCTTCAAGGTCGGGCTCGGAGTGAAAGCGTCCACTAATGTGCGTGAAGCCTTGGGAGGCGAGTTGGGATCTACAACCTGCGCGATAGGCGGACTGGGCAGTGGCTTGTCGCTTTGAGGGCGACGAGGGAGTCGTGAAGTGCCCGTAGGCGTCGTCGTCGCGCGGGTTGCAGGCGACATCGCCCGTCCAGGCAATGCCCCTCTTGTTCCCACCGAAGCTGGCCGAATGCTAGGTATCTTTGATTTGTTAGTAGTGGTCATATTTGCATATGTTGACAGTTTCAAGGAGCAGTCAAGAGGTCACAGCAAAGAGGTTCAGCACGTGTCGGTATGCGGGGTGTTCGACGGTGAAGCAGGAAGGCGCTTGAAATCTCTACTACAGTTGCCATATCCCGAGTCTTGCGCACAGACGCGTTTGCTCCAAGAGGAGCAGTGACAGTGAAAGAGGAAGTCCAAGCACGTAAAGTGCAATCCTGCTCTTTTCGGCATTCCTGGCAGCCATCCCCTAAGATTCTAATATAAACAGACATATCGAAACGATTTCCTCCAGTGGTTCGGCTATAATCCGTGACAGTGCAATGTAGATGTTGAGGGAAGAGTGTCGAAGCCGCGATGTGTGAGGTCATCGGCGCTTGGGCCATTCCCCGTTTGTAAAGAGGCCAGCGCGACGCGTCAGATGTACCAACCATTGCATTTCAAGATAAACGACCAACTCGCCCAACACTCATTCTGGCATCATGGCAAAGACATACAAGCAGATGAAGGAGGCCTGGGTGTCTGGACACACCGGAAGCTCCGTGGCAGACGTTAACAGCGTCTCGCTCGCAATGCCTGTACCGTACACACACCCACTACTCAAGCAATGGACCCTTACTGACTGTATGCATAGCTGAGTATTCTGCTATGGACCGTCATACAGTCGCGCATGCGTCTCTTCACACCCTATACTCCACCTGCCTTCTTGGTTGACTTCCTGCTCAACTGCGGAGCCACGTTATTCGCGACTACCATATACTCCCATTCACCATGGATCCTGAACCTCCTTCTACTGCTACCAGCAATCACGCTCTACGTCTTCGAGAAGCCGGTCGCGGCAAAAGATACCCCGCGACCACCCAAGATCGATAAATCCGAAAAGGACACGAGGCTCGATGCACTCCCTGTGAAGCCGTTCATTACGAATTACCGTGGCGCAATGATGGTCATAACGTGTGTTGCTATTCTGGCAGTCGACTTCCGCGTCTTTCCTCGGCGTTTCGCAAAAGTAGAGAATTGGGGTACATCGCTCATGGATATGGGTGTGGGATCATTCGTCTTCACGGCTGGTGTAGTATCTGTCCGGGCTTCTCTCAAGGAAGGAGCTGGTCGTCAGCCGCTATCGAAGCGCCTTACGGCATCGGTTAGACATGCCATCCCTCTTCTGGTCTTAGGCACTATACGGCTCATCTCCGTCAAAGGACTGGATTATGCTGAACATGTTACCGAATATGGTGTACACTGGAACTTCTTCTTCACCCTCGGTTTCTTGCCCCCATTTGCGGCTCTCTTCCAATCGGCCTTTGACTTGGTACCGTCCTATGCCGTTCTTTCTTTTGTTCTGGCTGCTGCATATGAGATTGCTTTAGACTGGACCTCGCTCGGATCCTTTATACTGGTAGCTCCACGGACGGACCTCTTCTCTCAGAACCGAGAAGGCATCTTCTCTTTCTTTGGCTACCTCGCCATCTTTCTTGCAGGCCAGTCCTTGGGTGCGTCCGCACTACCAAGACAACAGCCGATCGCAAAGAACGCATCATTCCAGGTTAAGCTCCAACAATCTACGTTCGGCAAGCTGATTATGACTTCCGTATTTTGGACAGCCCTCTTCTATTTCTCAACCAATTATTACGGTCTGCGACTCACCGTATCGCGACGCCTAGCCAACCTCCCCTACTTCCTCTGGGTCTCCTCGTTCAACAGCTACCAGATCACCATCTGCTACGCCATCGAGAGTTTCCTCTTTCCAAACCTGTACAATGCCAAGACCAAAGAGGAGGAATCTCGGAGAAGTAGAGATGCTACTAGCACTGTACTCTATGCCTACAACCGCAATGGTCTAGCAGTCTTCCTTGTAGCGAACCTACTGACCGGTCTGGTCAACATGACATTTCCAACCTTGCATATGACTGTTTTGCAGTCTATGGGGATACTGGTCGCATACATTGCAGCAGTCACGGCAGTTGCAGTGGGTCTGGATATGTACAACCTCACCATAAAGCTTTAAGCTTCATGTGCATACACACTTACAGTACAAATGAAGGAGATTGTATCTACTTCGTCGTAACTTGGGTCGCTTTTCTACCATTTTCATCTCAAGTCTCTACAGGGACGATGCATGGATCGATCGGCCGAAACGCTGATACAAATGACTAAATCATAGCTTCGAGCTCGGTGCTTGCGTCTTTTGAACGAGTTCAAGGACGCGCTCGGCGGTTCCCCATGATGATTGATAGCCCGCACCAGAATGACCATAGCAATGCACAACCGGAACTTTCCACTTCCCCATCTCCGTCTCAATCCTTGGGCCGCCCTTGCGTGAAGCTACAGGTTGTCAGTACACTGTTCTCGATCATATGTATCCACTGCTACAACTCACGTCTCAACCCCACGTTCTTCGCGATGATCTGCAGATCCTCCGGCTTCCCTAACTCGGGACACAACTCACAACATCGCTTCATGATGTCTTGACCAAGTTCCTCATCCCACTCCGCACTCCAATCGTTTTCCTGTCGACTGCCACCTAGGATAACGCCACCGCCCAGTGGGCGAGGGAACACGTATGTCGTCGTTGGATCGATCCGCTTCGGAGAGCGGAAATACCTAGTTTCACATGGTCAGCTCCAGTTCCATGAAGCGTCATTGGGGGCTAGCCAAGGGAACGCAAGTAGATAGCACTGTCGTACTTGACCCTTTCCATTTCATACATTCGAGTGATTGGTTTCTTAGGCTCGGCGACTAGTAAAGTTTGGCCACGTGTTGGGTAAAGGTTTGTATCCTTGATGTCCGAGAGGTTTAGAGAGCCAATTCCGGTGCAGTTTATCAGGAGAGTAGTTGATGGGTGGTCGGCCAAGACGTCTGAGACGGATGGGTAGTGGCGACGGACGAGTGTGATGCCTTTGTTTAGGGCTTGAACTTGGAGCCTAGGTACGACATGAGCTTCTGGCGTTCCGACCTCAAAAAATTATCTTGCAATTCGAGGGAGGATAGAAAGGAGACGTACCACTGTAAATATACCTGCGTATTAATCCTAAACGTGCTTGGGTAATCAAGACCAAACGTTGCGCCCTTGGGAAGCTCACTTTCCCCCAAGTTCCTCAAACCTCCGACTAGCTGGTCGTACCACACCTTTCCCGTCTCTTTCGTCAAAAGACCTGTCTCTTCGATTGGCGCGTCAAACACACCCCACATACCCATTCTCCCCAACCCTGCTTCATTGCCTCCCCCATTTACTCCATCTATACCTTTCGTCTCACCAGCCTTCAGTGTTTGGCATCCAAATACTTCCTTCCCATCAACAAGCTCGCCAAAGCGGCGAAAGGTCACCTCGTCGTATTTCTCTAGAGGTCCGTTGTCGTTGGCCATGGAAGACCAATTTGCGCCAGCCCAGGGAGACGTGTATTCTATGGAGCGGTCTCCAGGGAAGTGCTTTGCTACCACCGTTATCTTGGCGTTGGGGTAGGCGTGAGACAGGACGAGGGACGTGGTAAGGCCGATGACGCCTGCACCCATGACAAGGACGTGCTGGTCGTCTGTTTGAGATGTCATGATGGGTTTGGTGAAATTCTGGAAAGATTCCGACTTGGTAAAGAGTATCCAAGATTACTGGCGATCTGATGTTTCAACGATGCTGGTTGCTGAATCTTGGGTCCGCGATAAGGTCTTGGTCCAGTATCGAGGTAGAATGAAACCGGAATTGTGTATAGAATGCTCAAGTGTGATATAAAGCTAATATAGTATCAGCAACCCGTCTCTTTTATACGTTGCAGCCATCGGAGTAAGATTTGTGTACCTTGCACAGCTATCCCGAAGTTTAAGAAGCTATTCCGACGGCAAATAGTCACTAATTCCTATACCGTGTTGTCCAAAAGTAATCGGACCTACAGCAATGAGGCTCGGATAACGCTTAGGATCTCGCTAGGCACAACATACGTGTATTGCCTTGATTAACAAAAGTTCATGCAAAGTGATGTTCAAGATGCTTGATCGAAGATGCAGATGACACCGATAGGATCAGTTCCGAGATCGGAATGAGCGGTTCCGCGTTGGCACCACTCTATATGGACGTAAGATGCCAAGCGTCTCACAAGTAACGTTAAACAGTACAAAGAGGAACACACTGATCGGTTAGAGAAAAATTGGGTATCTTTTGAAACTAATGAGGGTTGTACAAGCAACGATATGAACATCACCCCAAACACCATATTACGTACTAACATAACCAACTTTTACTAGATCAGGTCCGTTTCCTGTACGCCCAACAACTCAAGAGCAGACACTAGGCGGATTGCTTCATGAACCAATCTGAGCTTGCGTCAACCATGTAATTTGTGATATTCGACTCATTCCCAAAACCACCATCCGGCAATTGCATATTGCCATCGGGTGCAGGATAACTCATGGAGCCATCCATCGACACTGGTAGTCGAGGCATATTGAAGAAATCGAACACGTCAAGATACTCCAGCTCATTTGGTGCAGGTGTTCGAGCCGGAGTAACAGTGTTGACCTTGGGGTTCTGGTTGTTACTGAGTTTGGGCTGTCGAGAGATGAGGAAATCCAGATCAAATGCACATCGTCGCATGTCCGCCAGGATCTTGACAGTTGAAGGCGTCACGCGTTCACCGTTCGCGCCTGTAGGGGTCTGCTGACTTTCCTGGTATTCAGAGAGTACGCGTGCAAGAAGGCTAGCGTAACGCGTACCAACTTCCCAGTACTGGCCCATGTCTTGAAGAGTGCTGACGAGAAGATTGATTGACTGGTCGACGCGATGGTCGATTGTGGATCCGTGAACCAAGAGAACACGTGCAGCCACCCACAGCGAAAACGCGAAGGGCGGGCCAAGTTTGCTCAGCAAACCGTTGTCACGTACAGTAGCACAAAGGGCTGTTATGTTCTCGACAGCGCTGAGACACCTCTGACTAGCGCTGAAGGACGGAGTGAAGATGGGCGATCGATGGGTTGGGTACGCGGCGGAAGAGTGAAGGCGAATGACCGTGCTATTGAAGTCAGTACATCCTTTGTGTCTCGGGTAGGGATCAAACTTACGTGTGGAAAGCCGCATGGAGCATTACCAAGCCACTGTCAAGATTCTGTCCCATGCCTGGCTTTGCGAATAATCTCGCAGAGTTTCCAAATTCTGCGGGAAGGTTGTACTTCCACTGTTCAATAGCATTGTCGAGCTCCCGGTACTCACTTTGCCACGACTCGACGTCGGACAAAGACGTAATATCGACTGGCTTTTTCAGGAACTTGTGAATGCGCGTGAGGATGCCCAAGATCTCGACGTAGTAGGAAAAGGAGCCAAGATTCTCCGGTCTGTTCATACTGTAGTCGGATCGCGTCGAGGTATGGAACCATCGCGTCTCAACAGGAACATTTCGCGCATACATGTCATCGCGACAAGGCAATCGACGGTCGATCTCTTTCTCGTCCAAGGCGAACTCGAAAGCTGTCGCAACGGTCGCATATCGGTCCAGAACATAGATCATCCAAAACAGTCTGCGCCGACTTTCTTCTTCGATCCAGTCTTTTGGCTCGGGGAGGGTCATGGCGCGCAAAGTGTATATTGACGCAAATTGCGGGGCCACGCTAGGTGAGTAGCTTTCGACCGAAAGACCCAACTGGACCACAGAGCGCGTAATGAGAGCAAGTAGATTCCAGCCCGGAGGTCCGTTGGAGCAGCCAACAACATCTAGAGCAAGGATGACAAGGGCTTGCAACGACTTGACGGAGCTGTTTTCGATGCCATACAGCAGGACCTTTTCCTTGGAGCTCTTATGGTAGCGTGTGCGCTTCTCCGCGGTCAGGCGCTGGTCGGTAGAAAATTTGACAGTAGTGGCGACAACAGCGTGTAGTATGATTCGGTCCGCTTCGTCTAGAGTTGCGTCTCCGAACAGCGAGTTCAACGTGCTTTGGCGGTGGAGGATAGGACACCAGGTGTTGATGTGCTTGAAGAAAAGGTCGACGAGCCCATACAGAAGATCGTAGGGAGGGAAGTCGGCGTCTGCGTGGCCGAGATTTCTCGACATGGCCGGCTGGTACTGGTCGTTGTACGGGGTATAGACGTCTCTAGACATGCCACCGCTCATGCTGTTCATGTCCTCGGACTGGTAACCATTGCCCGTGACCGAGGGCGTAGGCCTGTGATCCGTGACTCCGTTGCCATATTGGTTCTGTATTGCATTCTGCGACGGAAACGTGGGCTTCTGGATGAAAAGGGCCGTTTCGGGACGCGGTATGTGAGGTGTCTGTATCACCGGCGGGCTGCGGAACGCGGCCACCTCTTGTGGTGAAGGGCCAGAAGTGGCGACCTGGCTGCTGGAGAGGTGGTTGATTTGCGACTGCTGCTGGACGAGGAGCGCTTCGAGCTTGTCTGGAAGGAGCGCAACGGTCAGCTGTGTTGGTGGTTGCCGTGTACAGTTTCTAGCTTTCGGACGGAAGGAGCAGCCTGTTCAGCCACGCTACGCGACAATTGCGACGCGTCTGAAAGCCTCTTTGTTGCCATGATGGAAGCGCAAAGTCTGACAGCAGCGACAGCAGACTCGCATGCACTTGATCACAGACCTCGGCTACTCCAGAACAGGGTGGTGAGGACACGCGACTTACCAAGTCTTGATTCCAGCTCTCGTCCATAGCCAGCGCGCAGACCTGGCTTCTTGCGCGGGAGATAAACCTGGATGTGATTCAGTATTGGGTTGGTACGAGCCGACAGCGCAACTGACGCATGCGGAGTGGTTTTTCAAGCACCAGGAACAAGCTGGCGCGCCTCGGTCGCATTTGACTTTTCGCTGCTCTACACTTGGTAAGAATGGGATGCCTCAGGTCCTGCTGTATCACACTTACTACATGTCTCGCAGCTTACAGATAGCGGCCGCTTCCGCTTGTTCGATGTGCCGCTCTGGCTTCGGTCGTTGGCTTCATCGTCGCTGGAGCGCTCATCGCCGCTCCAGTCCTGCGCATCGCCAGGGGAGTGGTTGGAAAGCTTTGCAGTGCCGTTGGGACTCGCCGTCTGCTGGTGGGCTGCACTGGTATCCATGGTGGAGGATGCGATTGGGGGCGTGCAGCTGAACTCGGCAGAAGTCAGTCCGAGGTGTCCTCTCGTCGCAGCCCCGCCTACATGCTTTAGACCCTTACCCCAGATATCGTATTTACCGGCCTACTCTCCCTCCGCATGTCCGGATTGGTGGCTTCCAGTGGGCCGCTGGCTTTTCGGTACAATACTGATCTGCAAAAACACATGCTTCGGCCTTGTCCACATTCCGGCCAACGTGCCGAACGCCTCACATCGACGCCTGCTCACGCGCGTGCGCTCCACTTCTTGGCCCAAGTATCAACGGATTCTCCCCCAGTCGTTGCAAATCGCAGCGAGATGGACCGAGGGACCCTCTTCAACGAGACACGAAACCTGGCACGTAGTTATGCCGCCGTTTAAATAACATTTGCGCTCTGCTACCAAGCACTTATCTACCCCTCCTTCACGCTTTGTCGTCTGCTTCTCCAGTGTAACCAACTCTTCCTGATCTCACAATGGTTTCTTCCACAGATTCTGGCGCAGCGCGCTCCTTTCCCACTATCAAACATGTGCGAACTTTCGTTACCCAAGGCCCCGGCAGCGGCGGAGACTATCACAATGTTGCTGGTGGCCACTGGCTCATTGATAGCAAGATCTCGACTCCCATGAGCCAGTATGAAGATTACCGCAAGTCAAGAACCAGCTGGGGCATTAATGTCTTGGGATCCTTCTGTGTTGAAATCGAGGCCAGTGACGGTACCAAGGGTTTTGCTACTGGATTCGGAGGTCCGCCAGCATGCTGGCTAGTTGCTGAGCATTTCGAGCGCTTCCTGATTGGCCAAGGTAAGCACTCAGTTGGATAATGTATTGAGTAACAGTTCTAATTTATCTCCAGATCCTAGAGATACCAACCACATGTTCGAGCAGATGTACCGTGCGTCCATGTTTTATGGTCGCAAAGGCCTCCCAGTTGCCGTCATCTCAGTAATCGATCTTGCTATTTGGGATCTGCTCGGCCACATTCGCAATGAGCCCGTATACAAGATGCTCGGTGGAGCTACCCGGGAGAGGCTCAACTTCTACTGCACTGGTCCTGAGCCTGCAGCAGCAAAGGAGATGGGTTTCTTTGGCGCCAAGGTACCACTGCCTTACGGCCCTGGTGAGGGTGTTGAGGGTCTCAAGAAGAATGTCGAGTTCCTCACCAAGCACCGTGAAAGCGTCGGACCAGATTTCCCTCTCATGGTTGACTGCTACATGAGCTTGAACGTACCCTACACAATCGAAGTCGTAAAGGCCACCGAACACCTTAACTTGAACTGGTGGGAGGAGTGCTTGTCACCCGATGATTCGGATGGTTTCGAGCAGATCAAGCGCGCTCACCCTCGCATGAAGTTTACCACGGGCGAGCACGAGTACTCGCGATATGGCTTTAGGAAGCTCATCGAGGGCCGCAACCTGGACATCCTCCAGCCCGATGTCATGTGGGTTGGAGGTATGACTGAGCTCATCAAGATCTCGGCCATGGCCGCTGCCTACGACATTCCTGTTGTGCCCCACGCCAGTGGACCATACTCGTACCATTTCGTTGTTTCTCAGGCCAACTCGCCATTCCAAGAGTACCTCGCAAACTCACCGGACGGCAAGTCTGTTCTGCCCGTCTTCGGCAACCTGTAAGTTCCCGCTCAATCATCTGCCGAATGTTTTGCTAATGAGATGCAGATTTACCAACGAGCCCATCCCCACCAAGGGATATCTCGACGTTAAGACCCTTGATCTCCCAGGCTTTGGCCTCAAGCTGAACCCCAACGCCGGCTTGATCGATGCCACTCGCATACTAAACCCAGCGCCTCAAAAAGCGCTAAAGCCTGCTGAGCCTGAGAAGGCGGAGGTCAATGGACACGCGTAATGACATGCACCGCATTGTGAGAAACGTGGTTACACGACATCATGGCGTTGTGGAGTTGCATATGGCTTGCTTTTTGGAAAGCCCGGTGTTCATGCATTGCGCCGGAGCGGCAATTTTGTTCTTGGCCGTTCGCTGGCAACCAGAAGCATCTGGGTGAAATTTTGTATTTGCGCATGGCGGCATGAGCGATGACTAGTTACACACGTAGCTTTACGACATGGCTGTAGCTTATGAAGAATGAAGGATACAGAATACACAAAAAGTCTATTATTAGTGACGAATTGCGGGCGCTGACGATCTCGGGAGGCTCTGGGCTCGTTCCTACCCATGTGCAGTAGGGACCTACGCCGAGTGGGGCAACACGAGCGTCAGAGCTATGCTGTAGTCGATTCTTCATAAAGGCGCGGTGAGGCAGCAAAACCGTACTTTTCCACAAACTCGGTGTATATCTCAGGCATACACCTTGGAACTAGTAGCAACATCCTTCTTTAATACACAAATTACCCCACCAATACCCCGCATCATCATGGACGCCATCAAGGACACGGTCAACAGCGCGCTCGAGAAGCTCAACATCACAGGGGGCGCATCTCAGGGCACACCGGCGAAGGAGCCATCAGAGGAGCAGCTGAACGAGCTCAAGTCCAAGTACCAGAAGGCTGGCCAAGAGCAAGTTTTTGTACGTGCAGCCCCAACGTTGTCGTGGGCGAGTCTGGGAGCACCTCGCTGGACATTGTGAGCACCAAGTGGCTCACTGGACCCAGCCATGACTTCTGAGACGCTCCCATCTCATGTTCCCTTGCTAACAGAAACACCAGGCTTTCTACGACAAGCTCTCCACTGCTGAGAAGGCTACCCTCTACGAGCAATTGAGCAACTTCAACCCTGACTACATCAACGAAATCACCGAGCGCGCCCTCCACCCCGCCGAAGCCGAAGCCACTGAGAACAAGCTCGAGCCCCTCCCCGAAAATGCCACATCTTCCGTCCTCTCCTCCCAGCAGGAAGATCTCGACAAATGGTACAACAGCGGATTGGACCTCATCGCCGAGAACCAGGTCGCTGTCGTGCTGATGGCTGGTGGCCAGGGTACCCGTCTGGGCAGCTCAGCGCCCAAGGGGTGCTTCGACATTGGACTGCCCAGCAAGAAGAGCCTGTTCCAGCTGCAGGGTGAGAGGATCAAGAAGGCCGAGATGCTGGCCGCCAAGAAGCACAACAAGGAGAGCGTTACCATCCCGTGGTACGTCATGACCAGCGGCCCTACTCGCGGCCCTACCGCCGACTTCTTCGAGAAGAACAACTACTTTGGTTTGAAGAAGGAGAACGTTGTCATTTTCGAGCAGGGTGTCTTGCCATGCATCTCCAACGAGGGCAAGATCCTGTTGGAGAGCAAGTCAAAGGTCGCCGTCGCTCCCGATGGCAACGGTGGTCTCTACCAAGCTCTTATCCAGTCCGGTGTCGTACAAGACATGGGCAAGCGTGGCATCCAGCACATCCACGCATACTGTGTCGACAACTGCCTGGTCAAGGTCGCCGACCCTGCCTTTATCGGTTTCTCCGCGTCGAAGAACGTTGATATCGCTACCAAGGTTGTTCGCAAGCGCAACGCCAAGGAGTCTGTCGGTCTCATCCTCCAGAAGAACGGCAAGCCAGATGTTGTCGAGTACTCAGAGATCTCAACCGAAGACGCAGAGGCCAAGGACTCCAAGGACTCGAGCCTACTCAAGTTCCGCGCCGCCAACATCGTCAACCACTACTACTCATACAAGTTCCTTGAGAGCATCCCAGAGTGGGCAAAGAAGCTTCCTCACCACGTTGCGCGCAAGAAGATTCCTTACGTTAACACCGAGACCGGTGAGACCATTAAGCCAGAGAAGCCAAACGGCATCAAGCTGGAGCAATTCGTCTTCGACTGCTTCCCCTTCCTGACTCTGGAGAAATTCGCTTGCATGGAAGTGAAGCGTGAGGACGAGTTCTCGCCCCTGAAGAACGCCCGCGGAACTGGCGAGGACGACCCTGATACCAGCAAGCAGGACATCATGACCCAGGGCAAGAAGTGGGTCCAGGCCGCTGGCGCCACCGTTGTCAGCGAGGACGCTGAGGCCGGTATTGAAGTATCACCATTGATCTCATACGTAAGTTCTCAGAGATACCCCTTAGTCTGTGAAACCGAACGCTAACTGTCATCCAGGGTGGCGAAGGCCTTGACTTCCTTAAGACCAAGACCCTCAAGGCTCCTGCTGTCATCGAGTCTGAAGACTAGAAGACCTACAAAGCTCGATGCAACGTGCTCCAGCCACGAGACCTACTCTTTGGCACGACAGAGGACGGCAAGCGAACGACCACGATTATTAAAAAAAAAAACTTGTCACTACTGTTGGCATTGAATAATAGATAGACACGAATGATATGAATATTTGGGACAACCACCTGCTCGAATCCTTTGACATAGCCGGACTGCACAGAGGGCGTTGGGTTGCTGATATTGGGGAAGCTGACTCTGCATCTTAGCTACAGGGTACGACTGCAACAATCGTGTCATGATGCGGGGCGGAGATGACCAGCTCTCAAACTGGCGGCAGCAGCGGAGGGGCAAAAAACAATCCAGGGCCCCCACGGTACGATGAAAGCGCCTCTGATGCACGATGATAGGAGACGGGACATTTCTAGAGTGAAGAGGGCATAGTCGGGTTCTATGAAACGGCGCATGATGCAATTCGGGGCTGTTTATGGTTCAGTTCGACCTCGGGAAGAACCAGATTGCGCATTTCGTTAGCGCAACCGAAGCAGGGACCACAGCTATGAGAGATGCATTTTGCCCGTTGCCCGAACATTCCACGATCCCCCAAAATCTCTCACCACATTTAGCAGGAGGTTGAAGAAGAGTTGCTGTGGGAAGGTCAGGAAAGTTGCAAGTAGGTTGCGCCCGCCGAAAATCGCCCCTTCCCTATGGTGCGCGCCAGGTTCCGCCCTGGCGCGTGCTTCGTCCGCGTTCCCTTACCCCTCGACGACAGCCCCTCGAAAAATCTGCGACTGACTGGCGAACGCAGGTGAAGGAAATTGAAGAAGCAAACGAAGCAGGTACTTTCGCCCTATGAGCTCTGCTAGTCGCGCGCGCACTCCCTCGAGCGAACACGGAGCAGAGCAGACGTCGCAGCAAACACCACCCAAAACCACCCCTCATTCGCGACCCACTCCCTGCGCAACCCACGCAATCACCGAGTGTATACTTATACGCTTCCCAGATATACCCAGAGAAACAACACCATGTCTTCCCTGTCTCGTCGTGCGTGCTTCAAGTGCGGAAACGTTGGCCATTATGCCGGTAAGCCATCCCGCGCATCGACTCGTGGCGCGCGCTGCGATTGCACTATCAGAAGACACATCGCGCATGTTGGTTCTGAGTGTAGTACCTACAATGCGCCGCCACGAGCATTGTTACAGCGGTCATGAGAGACCTTGCGACTGACGGAGATCTACAGAGGTTTGCTCTTCCTCTGAGAGGCTGTGCTACAACTGTAAGACCACCCCAAAACCACTTGCGACTATGGACTAACCTCTCTACAGGCAAGCAGCCAGGCCACGAGTCTAACGGATGCCCGCATCCTCGCACCACCGAGAGTACGTCACTGCAATCCACACTACCCGTTTTCACATCGAGGACTCGTTCAATGGCCCTCGCGCACTTTCGGCGATATACAACCCTGCATGATAAAGCAATGAAGAGCTGACCAAGGAACAGCCAAGCAGTGCTACCACTGCCAGGGTCTCGGACACGTCCAGGCTGACTGCCCAACTCTGCGTCTGAGTGGAGCCGGCACCAGCGGACGCTGCTACAGCTGCGGTATCGCTGGCCATCTTGCCCGCAACTGCCCCAACCCTGGAATGGGTCGTGGAGCTGGCGGTCCTCCTCGTGGCGGCTATGGAGGAGGTTTCCGTGGCGGTTTCGCTGGTGGCGCTCGCCCGGCCACTTGCTACAAGTGCGGTGGACCTAACCACTTTGCCCGTGACTGCCAGGCCCAAGCTATGAAGTGCTACGCCTGCGGCAAGCTTGGTGAGTCGACTGAACACATTCCAGCATACAACCCCTGACATCAACTAGGCCACATCTCCCGCGACTGCACCGCCCCCAACGGCGGCCCCTTGAACACTGCTGGCAAGACTTGCTACCGTTGCGGTGAGACCGGCCACATTTCCCGCGACTGCACTCAGGCTGAGGTCAACGGCGACGCTGCCGCCGCGCCTGCTGCTGCCGCTGCTGCTGCTGCTCCCGTCCCGGCCGCTGCTCCCACCGCTGCTGTCGCCTAGGCGACTTCAAGCTATGCCGAAGTCTCGCCATGAGTAATATTGTGGCCAGTACTGGCCCCTATGGCATGCACTACCATGTCTTTCATTAGGTTTACCACTTCATCACGATCATTTCCCTAGCCAATCTCAGCATCATTTCGGCATATCTCACGCATTCACGAGTCATCAATGGATATGAGAAAAGTTCTTCACGATTCTTATACTGATACCCCACGAACGTTATATCCCTTACTTCAACCATTCTACCATTATTTCGACAGACGACGGCTTGGCGATTTGGATGGCGACCTGTTTTTATACAAGCGATTTGGCTTGGTAGTTTCTTCGGCAGAAGAGTTACCAGTGCGAATGTGCTTGGATAAACCAGGCTCGTCTATGGAGCTGGAAGGCGCTGTGGTGGTTTGGTGCGAAAGCTTGTTCCCAGGGGATGGAGGTAGTATGGACGAGGAAGAGTGAAGGAGACTGTGTGTGTATGTCGGGAGCTGGGTCGGTGCATCTGTCTGTTATCATTATCTTCATACATGACTGTGCTTGCATAGCTTGGATTTAGATTGTATCATCTATCTCGAATATATGCAGTCACATCAGTATCTGACTTCCGAGATTCATCTCATCTTCACTGACTAAAGTACCATCTACAGTCCACTCGACTGCACGATCCCGAGAGCTGTTATGATGCCCAACAAAACAGCGTTGGCCACGGCTGCCTTATTCTGCCTGGCCGTTGGCGTATGGAGGAACCGGCTGTCATCACTGGTATCCCCATCATTGGATCTGGCATTGCTCAGTCACAGTTTCCAGGCCGTCAACTCGGCCCCTCTCATATTCGATTCAATCGAATTGAGCTCATCATTTCTAAGATGCACGTGTGTTCCTCTCTCCTCGTTGCGAGGCGGTCGCGTTGGTGGTGGTTGCGCCTTCCTTCCTCAGTGTTACACAGACGGAACAGACCTCAGCGCCCCCGTTCATCGTGCCTTCCTCCGCTGTCTCGCCTTTCGCAGACTTTCCCATTATTTCTTCTTCCACCATCTCTCCCTCATTCCCACCTTTGTCCCTCACACACGCAGCACTCGTACTCTCCCTTGTATCGCTCCCTTTCGTCTTATACCTAGTCATTTACCATCACGACCTACTATGGGCGCTTCTTCGGTTGCGAGTGACGACTCGAACAATGATGTGAGTGACTTCCTCTCACTGAGATGAGATGCAAATTGACTGAACACACACAGGGCGGTTTCATCGTTGATATCGATGCGATCCAGGCGCACGGTATCGGTGCTGTCGATATCTCGAAGCTGAAATCAAATGGCTACTATACAATCGCATCAGTGCATTCGGCTACTCGTCGCAATCTACTGAAGATCAAGGGCTTCAGTGAAATCAAGGTCGACAAAGTCAAGGATGCCATCGCAAAGTGCCAGGTACATCACTAAGTCCACTTCACACTCAAGTGTAGATCTCTGACGTGCAGCACAGCCTTCTGGGGGAGGGTTTCAGACTGCTCATGAGCTCGGACATTTGCGAAAGCGTGTCATCAAGATTTCTACTGGCAGTAAGGCGCTCGATGCCGTGCTCGGAGGGTGAGTGTCTGTGTCAGTCTATGTTCCAAATATCGATGCTGACGATACATAGTGGCTTCCAGACGATGAGCATCAGCGAGGTCTTTGGAGAGTTCCGCTGCGGAAAGACCCAGTTGTCACATACCATGTCTGTCATCGCACAGCTACCGAAGGACATGGGTGGTGCGGAAGGCAAGGTAGCCTACATTGGTATGTCGAACATCGCTGCCTTTGAACTCGTCTCACACCTACTCAGATACTGAAGGAACATTTCGACCGGAGAGGATAGCCCAGATCGCAGAGCGATTCGGTGTAGACCCCGAGACTGGTGTGTATCATCTTACTCCCTGTGGTATCTCTACTGACAATCTTCAGCTCAAGACAACATCACTTATGCGCGTGCTGTGAACTCGGAGCATCAGATGGAACTTCTCAACAAAGTCGCAGAGTTCTTTGTCAGCAATGAGTACCGCCTACTCATCATCGACAGTATCATGGCTCTTTTTCGTGTCGACTATACGGGCCGTGGTGAGCTCAATGAGCGGCAGCAAAAGCTCAACCAGTTCCTCTCGAAGCTAACGCATGTGGCTGAAGGTACTCCAAAGTTTCCCTCATGGTTCCGATTCAACCTAACAGTGCATAGAGTTCAACGTCGCCGTGCTCCTGACAAACCAAGTTCAGAGCGATCCTGGAGCGAGCGCTCTCTTCGCTAGTGCAGATGGTCGCAAGCCCATTGGTGGTCACATCCTCGCGCACGCTTCTGCCACAAGGATCTTGCTTCGCAAGGGTCGAGGTGAAGAGCGTGTTGCTAAGATCCAAGACTCTCCTGGTATGTCAGCATGCGTCGCTATTTGATCATATATCTGCTAACGCATCGCTTCAGACATGCCGGAGAAGGAAGCAACATATATCATCACAAACGGTGGCATCAACGATGCAGAGAAGCTGTGATGAATTTGCAGCGATCTGGCTTTGCTACATCTATGAGGGGATTTATGGGAGAAGTGGTGGTGGTGTTATGTGATACGAATCGATGTACATTTCTCACGTACGGCGATAGCGAACTGTAGTGTGTCATGTTCACCAATATAGGAGGTCCACACCTCTTTTATGTCTCGGTACTTATGTAGCGTCTCTATGCAAGTCTCGTTCACCTATGAAGCTCTACGCATATTGTATCCAGCTTAAACCTGCTTAATGATACCCATCGCCGGTCTCACGCTTTTTCAATTTTTCATCGTCTCCTCGTTCCTCGCCTTGTCTCTACTATTCCACTCCCGATCAAACACCTGTAAACTCCGCTGTGCAGTAGGCACTACATCCAACGCCTTCACGCTAACCCGATCTTTCTGGCTTAGCATGAAAGCAGCCGCTTCCGCAACGTCAGGAGCAACAAGAGGCTCGAAGCCGGTCATGAAAGTGTCATAGCTCTCCTTGTCGTATCCAACACTAAATTCCTTGTCAGTTCCAAGTCCCACCGCAGGACCAAAAGTGGGAGAGCACGGAAACGGCATGTACGAGATCCACACCATGTACGAGAAGAGATGTACAACATACCGCTGTTCATGAAAATTCGTCGCCACGACCCCTGGTCGTAACGCAAGCACCTTGATATCCGTGCCCACCAACTCCGTCCTTAGCACGTTGGTAAAAGCCTCCTGACAAGCTTTACTAGCATGATACACCGCCTCACCCGGGAATGGCGGTACCTCTAACCCCGTTGTACTAGTGACATTGAGAATCGTGCCCTTGCCCCTCTCTTTCATCTTTCCCTCATTTAATGCAGCGTACGCAGCAAACATGTACCCATTGATATTAGTGTTCGTCATAGTAATGATGTCCTGTATTTGGAGGTCGGGGAACTTGGAGGGCGCACCGATGGCAAGACCAGCGTTGTTGATCAAAACGTCAATGTGTGAGACTTGTTGGACTATATGTGAGATGGCAGTGCTGAGGGAGGTGTGGTCTTGGACGTCGACGACGGATAGGAATATTTTTAGGTTCGAGTGCTTGGCTTTGAGAGAGTCGGACAAGGCTTTTAGCTTGTCGCCTGAGCGGGCGAAGAGGATGAGTGTTGCGTCTTCGGCGGCTAGACGTTGGGCTATGGCTGCGCCGATGCCCATTGATGCACCTGTGATGAGGACGGTTTGGCCTTTGAGTGACATGGTTGGTGATGGGAGTGGGAATCTGGAACGGATAGGTTGTTTAGGAAAACGATTGGATTGGTATGAAAGGTTGGGAATTGGGTTATCAAGAGTGCTTAGAGGAACAAGATGGCCGTCGTCGCGCGTGAACATTAGTAATGCTAGTAGTGTAGTAGTATTATGTGGAGTAAGAATGACGTCACAGGCATGGCATCGTTCAACATTCGTAAAGATCTGCATTAGGTGTTGACAAACTCCGTCGCTGGTAAGGGTATCGCCGTGAACATTCATCCTAACATAGTAAGTTACTCCGCACAACAACAGCTGTGAAAGATGACCTACAGTTTGTATCGTGTAGTTCTATCATGATGCCTATATCTGTTCCATGGACAGGGCAAGTTCAAGTCATGTATAGGTGGGGTCTGTCAAACTCGAGGTACGAGCCGAGAATATACCGGATGGTGCTCTTAGTTCTTCAATGTCATCCATCCCACCTTTGCGCTTCCTTGTTGTAACCGATGAGCTTGAGGTCGATGTTGAGTGTCTTGAGCATCATGTCCATCGTAAACGACTGTCTCCCTGTCAGTGATAATAGATTCACAACTGTCTCGGCGTACTCACATCGTCGTCTGCGCACTTGAACGTCTCCTTCTCCTCTTCTCCTTTCTCTCTCTCCGAATCCATCTCAGCATACCGATCATACTCTTCTTCCGAGACATCTCCGCTCTCTTTGGCTTTTTCCATCTTCTCTCGCTCTGCCTCCATCTCTTCCTTATCCCATTGCATCTGCCGTTCTTTTGATTCCTTCTCACGTTCCTTCCACGCGCCTACCCCTCCCATTCTATTGACCCTGTCTCGAGTACTTCCAAACAACTCTTCGGCAGCTGCACGACTCGCTGTGCGCCATTTGTCTATTAGCATAACCAAGTCGTCGTCTTTTGTAGAGGTAGCGAGGGTCTGAGCTTGTGTAAGCATCTGGATCTCATTGCGGAGTTGCATGATCTCGCGTGCAACTGAGGGTTTCGATGCTGTCTTCTTCGAAGCGAGCCGCAAAGGTGTGGTTGTGTTTGGCCGTGAGACGAGAGTTTTCGAGACACGTGCTGTCACCTTGGACGTTGCCGGCGTTGGCAGTGGCCGTGTAGAAGGCTCAGCGGTGGTTGAGTGCTGTGCATAATGGCTCGCAGGAGCGATATTCCTGGCAGTGTTGAAATTTGTCTCCGAGGCCTTGCGGGCAGGAGTGTGTAGCTCAGGCGGATCTGAGGATGGCGGATCGTCTCCAATGCTAGGCTTCAAGGGCGTGCGGAACGGCGATTTGAACGGCTTCTGGAGCGTCTTGGTGGCTTCATTTAGCCGGCGACGTTTCGCTTGCGGGGTCGCCATCTTCGTGACTGTTGATGCATTGGTACCGGCAGTTCTCGATGTGGCGGGGGGGTGGGGGGGTGAAACAAGACCACCGATGTCATCCGTCGCTTCTCAAACTGGATGATCTACCGGTAGCGCGTCGCGCTAGAATCCCGTCATCACGTGTGTCTGCTTACGCGACAAGTGAATACCTGGACTTTTTTTACCTTCTCGATTGGGCAAGAGAGGCAAGAGTATCCCGTCTTTCGAAGATGGTCAAGGTGGGAGGCATCGCTCTCGGGACTGATAATAGCAGCCGAGGGCAGATCTAGATATTGGAAACACCAAAACGACACCTGGACACGTACGAAAGCGCAGAGATGGTGCGAAAACAGAATCAAATTATATTAAGACGCAATGCTGATCAGCACATGATAGCTAAATGGGCAAGTCGTTCAGACATGCGAGTGAGGTCCTCGATTTTTTTAAGCATATACATAGCACAGCGGCCCTGCTGTGGTAGAAAAAAACTGATTGCTTTCAAGATGATTCTTGCCCGGTGGAGCTGCAACGTTCAGCTCCTGCTCATCTGTCGATTTGCCTCTAGGACTGTTGGGTATCAGCCAATGGGTGCCGCCTTCGTACATACTCGTCCGAGACTTGATCTCCTTCTCCTGATACATGGCCCACATCCACCAGTGTCTATCGAGCTGGCTGTGGTGCAGCCAGAAGGCTGGTTCAGCAGGGCTCACGTACACATCACCGCCAGGGTCGCCCCATATGCTGAAATGACCAGCAATGTGAAGCACAGCAAGGTTGTTGCTATTGCTGGCCTGGAGAGAATCTTGGAAGGTACCGATGGCTTTGTTGCTGGTGATGTGGGATAGGAGATCCTGAGGCCGCAAGTAACTTTCTGTGAAGAAGTTACTCACGTCACGACGGTGGCAGCGAGGATTGTCACCGAAGCCATCAGCACGCGGATTGGGCTTGATGTTCAGCTTGGGGTCCATGGTGGATGCTATGGGACCGAGACGTATTGTCAGGTTGGTAAAAGGACCTTTAGATATGCAACCACCGCCTGGACCGCCTGGAAGCGTTTGTCCCGGTCCTACACTCATGCCAGCGTGTGGGCCAATTGGATCGCCGTTGCCACCCATGCTCCACTCATCGCCGTTGAAGATAGGGCTGTTGACCAAATCCTTGTACTTTGCCCAGTTCCAGTAGGGCCTGTGATAAGAGATATTAGGTTAGTGTTCACTTCGAATAAACCTCGTAGATTGACACATACTGGTAGCCTTCGTAGCCGCATTCCTTGCGAAGCGCTGTTTCATACGCCCATATGTAGTAGCGATGCCAGTGCATGAAGTTTGCGGTGGCATGAACGGATGGCGTCATGTTCATGTGGACGACTACAAAATCATCGTAGCGAGACTTTGCGCCCGGGTATTGACCGGCAGGAAGCTTGGATGGAGCCTTTAAGATACAATTTACGGCTGTTGTATATGCCTTCCGCTCCTCTTTAGTGAGGTCGCCGCTATCATGTGTTAACACATACGTCGAATCATTTCCAGAAGTACTTACAATTCTTTGCGTACAGCAACAGTGTCTTTGTTACATGATGTGGACCTGTTCAGACCATCTGACAGAGTCCCATCCAGTACCTTGTACGCATTGGCAAGGGCCTGCTCCTGTACACCGTCAAGCGTGAGCGTGGTTTGTCTCTTAACCAAAGGAGACGCTGAAGCGCCCGAACCCAGAAGCAAAGATGCCACAAGGGCCTTGACAACCGCGGTGCCAGCCATTGATCAAGCTGTAACGATTCAGCTGAGTGCGGATCTCCAGAGCTCTTATACTAAGTGCACATGGCCAGCTTCCCTCTCCAATGCAGGCTGGTGGTGACTGCCATACTACTGCACTTGCTGGGTCATCTAATTAGATGGCCGCCCAACGTGTTGCCCGGTGTGGGGCGTGATTCTACAAAGGTTCCTTATAATGAGCACCCTTGACATTCGACACATGCACCTAAGGAACACCGTTGAGGTAAGGATAGCCCGCCATCCTTACCATCGATCTCACGAGTTTTCCAGTTCAGTTCATGAGATCTGCAGCGTGGCATCCATGAAGGTCCCGAGTGTCTTGGTATCAATCTCTCAAAGACTCCAAGGCTTGAGTTGCATCTGGCCGCGCTGCTGAGCGGCAGTCCAGACAAGGCAGTCAGCATCCTTGCGTATGCAACGCACAAGGCGGAACTGGGGTCATGATCTCAGCTCCAGTTAATCCCGAGCTCAGATTCTCCGTGAAGATGAGCTACGAGAAAAAGCTTCTAAACTTTGGTGGTCCGAAGTGTCATAGTATCCGGTCACTTCTATACAATGAAAATGAATGCTGCCATCTACAATCCGATTGATCAAGCCAAAGAGTCTGTTTCTCGTAGTTGGTTACAGCTGTGTGCAGATACCAGCGGCGAAGATCGTCGTCGTTGTTCATCTCTTACGAACAAAAGAGCCCCTACTGGACAATATCGGACGTGTAATACCGGCTATGGCACCCCTGACGGTCGGTGGGATCCTGCCGGGCGCAAGCGGCATTTGCCAAGCTCGAGTACTCTTGAATGAAACTGCAACACATCAACATTGATTGTAGGCCAGTATATTTAAGATGGTGGACTTCGTCACCTGCGTCGCAACACTCTACAGAGAGTCGGTCAGGAAGGGAAGCGCGATATCTCATGTGTTACCCAGCGCAGTAAGTTCTTCGGTAGTGCTGGCGTCTACGAAGACGCATGGCGCTTGTTAGGAGTACATGCTGACAAGGAATCTAATATATCTTGCGAATTGTGTGACACAACGCCTGTTTGAGATAGAACCAAGGAAGCAACGAACAGACACGATTCATCAGTCCAGTATAAGACGCATATCGCACCCGAAAGTGACTCCAAATGGCTCAACAAGTGTGGTGAGTGTTTTCTTTGGTCTAAAGAAAGGTGATGTTTGAGTGAACAAACGAGCTTGGCTGGTCTCCAGGAAAGGTCCTTGGCATTCCAGTCAATTGGTTATAAGAGCGAAATTCCCCATGCTTGCCCATCATTCCAAGTCGAAAAAGACAACGGAGTAAATAGATGGAGAGTAAATGCTGACAGACGAGCGGATCGCGGCAGAACCCGAGGCCTATCCATACTGAGTTCGCACCGTCCAGAAGTGTTGTATGCGCTGTTGGAATATGGTGCGATCGATCTGAAGGCAGACGGGCTTGAAAATGGACAAAACAAAAAACAACTTATCTGACTGGCAGCCAGTTTTCGTGGATGATGACCTGATTGACGATGCAGTGTCTGCCAGCGTTCGTGAAAGCCGACAAAAAGACCAGCTCAAGCAAGAAACTACGCCACCGAGGATGGAGAGCAGCATAATAAGGGGGGGAGCTCTGCTGCATATCCGATACGTCACAATCGATGCGACGGATTATTCTAGGTGCTGCTGCCGTCCATTATGATAAATGCAGACGTGGTGAAACTGCAGAGCCGTTGGGTTCCCTGGTAGCGTTGTGCGCCAAACCAGATGCGGGCTTGAGTGGAACACGTGAGGACGCGTCGAGGGGCGATTTCATTGTGAATGCCTGAACGCGCTCCACTCATACACCCCTCGCGTCTGAGGGTTATTGATCAGCGACGCACAATTTTACGGCACCAGGCACCGTGTCATGGTCGCTGACCTCGCTTTTGCCAGCCGCGAATCCCATTATTGCGCGGAACCGGATCATAGTCTCGCGCCACGCCTTTCTGACTAGGTTTCGGTCCTTCAACGCGACATTTGCCCCTCAGGGGAACGGAAAACGGGCTCTAGAGAGGGCCTCCGGTGGACGGCCGCCTTTCATTGATTCGCAGATGCAAGCGATGAGCCGATGCTGGTTGTTGCACGGCGGCGGCGTCGATTGCTTTTCCTCAAACTTTCTTGGGTGCCTGGCCAAAGCTTCCACCTTCCCGACGCAAGCTGCAAGCTGCAGGCATTAAGCCCTGCGCAAAGATTGCGACCAGTCATCTCATCATGTCGCCGAGGCTGGTGATGCTCGTCGCATCTCTCTAGCAGAAGCATGGGATGAGACATCGCGAGTATCGATCATCAGCTCTCGCTGGCTCGTCTCTAACATGTCTAGTTGCTTGCGGTTCGAGGACTACGCCAACCCACCGGCGCCCAACTAGCGCTATCAGCCTTCTTTGTTCCCGCCCTTGTTTCACAACCTTGCACAAGTGTTACTTGGTCTAGGTCCGGGGGCTCAGCCGTCCTGACTCTTAACTCTGAAAAAGGAAAAGCGGAACATGTGATATCGCGTTTACGTGTTAGGCCTGTGGACGCGTCCAATCCGCGTCGCCATTCACCCTCACCCTGGCCGAGGGCCAGATAGTGGCCTCCTGTGAGGAGTCAGGTATATATACACGGCTGCAGTCGCCTAGTACTTGCGTGCTACTGTCTCATTTGCCCTACGACGTATCTGCCTAAGGTTCTTTTCGAGTCGTCTACTTGCCTACTCAGTTTCGTATGCTTGCTGCCTACACACTGCACATATAAGTATCAACAACATCTCTCCGCACAGTACCGCACTCTTCATATTTCATCATGTTCTCATCAAACCGCACACGTCACCAGGAAGGCAGCTTTTCGAAACATCGCGCAACCAAGTCTAAATCACACAAGAAGAACCCCTCGTTCAGGGATTCGCCGAGGAGAGTAGAGAGGCTAGCACAACATGCCCAGGCATCATCACCACAATCGAATCAAACATCGCCGTCGCTAGGCAGGTGAGTACATCCATTCTTGACCAACCCAAGCGACTTTGCTAATTTTTCCATCAGTGCCATCATCACCATATCCGTCGGCCGCGAACAGCGACTCTTCGCAGCGCACGAAGATGTCCTATCTCACTCTCCTTGGTTTCAAACCCTCTGTAGCGGCCAGTTCTTTCAGACTACCAACAAGCGCATCGACCTACCTGACGAAGAACCCGAAGTCTTCTCATCGATTCTTGAGTATCTCTACAAGGGCGACTACTACCCGCGCATGGAGTACGACAAGAAACGAAACAGCTGGAATCTTGAAGACGGCGGCAACACCAACAATACACATGAAGCTGTCGTCCAGTCCTCGGTCGGACCGATACTGAAAGATACCGTCATTTACTGTCAAGCTGACAAGTACGGGTTACAAGAACTAAAAAAGCTTGCGTTGAAGAAGCAAGGTCTCCAGTCAGGCATTCAGTGCTCGACTATTCTGACATCTGCCCGTTATGCCTACGCCAACACTCCTGACAACGATTCGAAGCTCCGTGCACACTACCTCGCGCTCATCATCCGAGCCAGACACACCTTCAAGCGCAGCGGCACTATGCAGAATGAGATGGAGAACGGCGGCAAGCTCTTCTTCGACTTGTTCGTTGCCATGGTTAACCACATGGACGACCTGTCATCACCTTCAATCCGCTGAAGCTTTCCGCTTACAGCAGCCCCACTTCCTTGGATCCGACTAATGATTTCACTTGTCTGTCTTTTCTTGCTCTTCTTGTACATACACTTTCCGTTTGAGCCTCGCGGCTATGCCTCATCTCTTTACTGGGCTCTTCTTCGGTTACGGTCTTGATCCTGCACGGCGTTACAGTTTGAACATACCTTTCTGGCACTCACTCACGCCACTGTTGTACTACTATACTTATCTCTTTGCCTAGGTTGGGTTTCATTTGACTTTCGCGCCTTCTGCATTGGCCTTGAAGTTGCCTCGATATGCAGGCCTTCGTCACATCGGTTTGACTCTCAAGACACAAAATTATCGTGGGTGACCATCGTCACTCGATTATTCTGCGTTTATCTTCCTCTTAGTCTCTATATTTCGCGTCTGAGGTATTCTTTTTTGCAGCAGGGCTGCACCAAATTGTAACAAGATATGGTCGTCGACCTCATAACCTGTTCAACCCAATTAATGATAGCATTTGGTAACACAATGAATGAAACTCAGACATCAGAATACCAATACAAAGTCTTCGGTCAACAATGTGATATAGCGCAGCAATTCGTTAGGCCTCCCATTCTATGTTCCAACTCTTGATACTCAGCCCTCCTCCGTCTCCACCCTCGCTTGGCTGATATCATTGGCCGGCAACTCGGCACCAACATTCCATTCACACTTTAACAGACCCTAGATATATAACCGGGAAAAATTTCTGGTGTATTCAAGCCGACAATATCACAGAGCACAAGTGCAGGTGTCCAGCAAACCCATGATCATTTCGAAGACACACATACATACATAATTCACTAAATATTTGCTTATTATACGATACACCACACAATACGACCCAAACACTCTAGCACATAACAATGGAACGCCCACCCCCGCACTCCGTCCAAGCCATCAGTGCAAAACGCGCCGGCGGGAAGAAAGTGCCCAAACAGTATCGCAAGTACCACCAGAACCACAAGAAGAACAGCAAGACAAAAGGCAATATCGCTAGCAAAGTAGCGCACAATCTGATCCGCGGGGTAAGACAAATTGTCGAGTCGCTCTAGGTGGAACGAAGCACATGCAGCCTTAATACGCCGCTATAATAGAAGTAAAACATGCGGGCTGCAAACGGCAACCAGGAACAGGAAGCGAGGAGCGCAAAGCGAGCAATGAGCTATGAGCTGGGGTGCATGGGATTAGGAAACGCTGCTCACTATGCCAGTCAGGCAGCAACTATACCAACGGAATGGGAAACGGCATGCAATGTCTAGGTAGATGATAACGGTGCCCGAAGACGGAGTAACATGGATGGAGGAGGACCAGGTGCATCGTTGAGGCAAAGAGGAACACGATAACCTGCATACCCGAGGGAACACCGACGATCGTTTCCCGCTGACTCCTCTCCTCGAAAGCTTACCCACACTTCTATACGGCGAGGCGTGGTACCGATACTGTCGGTAGGTACAGTCATAGTACCTCTGCCGACATCCACATGCGCCAAGAACCACCATCGCTGCACGCTGAAGCGGGGACGACAGCAAAAAGTCGCCTTGGGTCGCGTCGGGCAGGTAGCACAAATGGCGCGACGATTACTAGGGCGGACTGGCGTTGGGTGTGGGCGGGGTCTGCAACGCGATATCAGCTGATAGGGCGACAGCATGTCTGTGCGGGAACGCGGCTTGTGGTTCCTACAACAGTGACTGGCCGCGCACGAAGAGCCGGCTTGTCTCACGAACCGTGCAAGCGAGGGTTTAGGTCAGATACAGGAACTACCAGGGTAGCAGAGTTTGAGGTACATCGGTAGCTTGTATTGAATTGGTGCTCTTGATAAGTTTTTTTTTTGCCGCGATGGTGTGGTACGTCATGGCGTGATTATGTGCGCATTGAGGCCTCTTACACAGGCAAACGTGTATGCGCGTTCCCAGCTTGGATAGTGACGTGTCGCGGTATGCAACCACGGTTGATTGATGGGTTGAGTCCTGTAGGAGATATCCAGTACGAAAATGTGTTTAGGCATCAGACCCCTGTCCCTGGAAATGCGCCCTTCTTGTTCATCACTACCATGCCGTGTTCGCGCGAGATGTACCCCTTCATGAGACCCTGCAATCTGGGTTAGCCAAGTGGGTTCAAGACGCGATGTGGTCTACGTGACGAGGTTGCCTCGACACTGGAGAAGACCTGCAGAAATGTGGAGTAGAGCCCAACGTTGCAGGCATGGTATGCGCACCTTGTAGATCTGGTTTGCCAATAAGCATTCAACCTCATCGTCCTCGACGGCTTGGCCGCTGCCTTCGCCTGCAATGCCCATCCTGAGTGCGGCGGCAAAGTTCGCTAGTGGTACTCGCGACTTCCGTATCCGGTCCTTCTCCGTTTGTCCTTCCTTGAGATCGTCGAAGCCACCAGCTAGGTAGACCTTTCGGAGAAGGTTGCGCAAGGCGATGTCCCGGCTCCGCTCTAGAGTGAGGAAGATGCGCCGTCTGACAAACTCGGGCTCGCCATCCGCTAGGGCTTTGTCAAAGCCTGTGAGGTCGCCTCGCTTTATGCATGATACGAGGGGGCCAAAGATGCGTTCTAGACGAGGCGCCTCAGCGAGAAGACTAGCCGTAGGAATCTTGTGTTGGGTGATCAGGCGACAGGGTATGAGGTATGTAAGAATGAGCCTGTGTTTTTAGCTTCGTGACCACCCGCATTAGATTGTTCGAACTCACGATTTGTTCTTTTGCGACTTCGACCAGCAAGATTCCCATGCTTGTTGCAAGCTGCTTTCCGCTTTGGCATAATCCTCCTGTAGGAATGCTAGTACTCCCAGATAATACCTGTATGTGACTCTATGCGCTCGCGGGTACAGTTCGAATGTAGGTAAATCAGATTGTGCTTCGATGGATCGCACGACGTTTTTAGACAGGCTTATGGCTTTTAACTAGTTGCATACGTGTTAGTGATTGTTACACAATGCGGACTAGGATATGTCTTACCTTGAAGTATGTCTTAAACTGAAGGTTGGCTATGCAGTATACACCCCACTTTCGCGATTCTGACATGTCTGGGTTCCTGTCACCAAGACAAAGAGCAAATATCCTGTTGAAGACTCGCGCAGCTTCTTCAAGCTTCTGGTTCTGCGGGGCTGTGCTTACGATATCGTCCGAGTAGCCAGTATTGAGAGTTGCTGGTTTCGACTTGGCCAACTGCTCGTCCGCTCTGATTGCTATCTTCCTAAGATGATTCGCAGTGAAGTATAGGGTGAAGATGGCCCATGGTGGAAGTAGTCCAGCGCTGATGTGCTTGATGAAGCTGCTTGTCAAGTCCTTCCATGCATCGTACACAGCCACGTAGTGATTCGCATTGAGCCTGCCTTGGTTCGCTGCTTCGTCAGTCTTGATAATGTCTCTGACAGCGCGCCAGTAAGCAGCAATGATGTCAATCCACGCGCCAGCCTCCTTGTTGGTCATGCGTGTGTTCTTGTTGTATTTGAGCGCATATCGAACATCGCCCTCAATCTTGTCGTCGCTGGAAGCGCGGTAGAAGTCGTACAGCCGGCCGGGATCATGTGCAGGAGCAACTGGACTGAGGAAGTCTGCGACGGGTTGCGCCAGACCACTGGCATATGCCTCGTGGAAAGGCTCAAGTGCGGCTTGCATGGTCGTGCGTGGGCGTACGAGTGCAGAAATCAAACGTCGATTGTCGCGTTGGTCAGAAGGGTTTCGCGACTTCAGCTGGTGTACTTAACCCTTGGACATGTTGCAGACTATGTTTGCAGTAAACCAGCTGGTGCGTGTTTGATGATGCTCTTGGTGTTGGCATGTCGGTGTTTGGGCTGTTTGTTCGCCGACGACCCTCGCGCCTGCCGCCAAGTTGTTGTGGGTCCCTGCTCAGCTAGCGCCCACAAGCTGGTGTCGAATTCGCTTGTGTGTCCACGATAGAGACGACCTGACTGAACTTCTCAACCCAAGGTACTAACCTCACAGCACAATCAAGGTCAGTCGACGTCGCCAGCTCATGCCAACATCGCTTGCTAACCATTCGCAGATGGGTAAGCAATTTTCTCTTCTCCGCAAGATCGTCCCGTCCAGCAATCGCAGCCGATGGAATTTTCGAACAAGGCCAGCGCGACCTTGAACGCCTCTCGCCATGACGACACACGACAACACGAGTTTGAGATCGACTGGGAAGGAGCAGCAGTAGTGTGTGCAGGCACGACGGGATGACTATGGCAGCGAATGCACGCGAAATCGTTCGCATGCGACAAATTCGAACACGACCGTACTCGATCAGCCTAACCTACCCGAACTCTCCGACCACGGCTGTTGCAATTGCTGGACTGGGGGCACTATCTTTGGTTGAAGCAGTACTGACGATGCTTCAGCACGCTTCCAGGAATACCAGATTATCGGCCGCCATCTGCCTTCAGAGGCCAACCCCGCGCCCAAGATCTACCGCATGCGCATCTTTGCGCCCAACGAGGTTGTCGCCAAGTCACGGTTCTGGTACTTCCTTGGCAAGCTCCGCAAGATCAAGAAGGCCAACGGTGAGATCGTCTCCGTAAACCAGGTACGTCAGACAATCCACCAAATAGGAATGTCAGAGACTGACTTGTCTAGATCCACGAGAAGAAGCCCCAGAAGGTCAAGAACTTCGGTATCTGGCTCAAGTACGACTCGCGCTCCGGCACCCACAACATGTACAAGGAGTACCGCGAGATGTCCCGCGTCGCCGCCGTCGATGCCCTCTACCAGGACATGGCCGCCCGTCACCGATCGCGTTTCAGGCAGGTTCAGGTAAGATCAGACCGACTCTACCGTGTTCATCAGTCCACTTACATCTTGTTTAGATTCTCAAGGTCGTTGAGGTCGAGAAGGCCGACGACATCCGCCGACCATACATTAAGCAGCTCCTCACCAAGAACCTCAAGTTCCCGCTGCCCCACCGCATCAACAAGAAGGCTGGCAAGAAGGTCTTCTCCGCTACCCGACCTTCCACTTTCTTCTAAGCGTGTTTTCCATTACGGAGTGCGGTCTGGATGGGTTGGGATGATATGGGTTTCCCTCGGTTATGCATGCTTCACGAAAAGAAGTACACTAGGAACGAATGAAAATCCCTGATACCTCCATTCGAGCCGTCGGTGCGCGTGATGCAGTACAGGGCGCTGGCTAGCTACGCGCGTGAAGGCGAGCCAGACAGGGACATCGAACAGCAGTTGTGTGGGTTGAGGACGATAGACAATGAAGTCATGCCAATACACTAAACGGTACATTTTGTACGCTGGCTCGTATCCTAATATGCGACTAGATCTTTGGCCTCCCTGTTGGCGCTACCTTTGGCCTATTCAAAGTGTCCAACGGCATCCACCACGGATACCCAGTCACATTGGTATTATCCATCGTTCCTGTAAACTTCGCCTGCCTCTTCTCCATGAACGACTTCACACCCTCGGTGTTATCCCTGTTACCAATTAGCTTTGTTCGATCTTAACTTTGCGATAGACTTACGGCGACCCAAATAGCTCATAGATTACCCTACTATCCAACAAATGCTGACCTTCAGGACTTCCCACATCCCTATACATCAACTCCTTCATCAAATACGTACTCACGCTACTTGTGTTCCTCACCACGTCCTCGGCCACCTCAAGCGCCCTTGGCAGCACTTGCTCGGCCTTCTCACACGTCTCTGCAAACAAACCACCCCAGATCTTGTCGCTAGCAAGATACGTGCTACCTGTCGTGACTGCCTGCATCGCGCGACTATGCCCAATCAACCGGGGCAAGAAGAACGAACTAACAGCTTCCATAATGAGTCCACGGCGCGCGAAGACGAAACCGATCTTCGCATTGGCGTACGCTATGCGTATATTCATGGGGAGTGTCATGGTGATGCCGACGCCTACTGCAGAACCTTGGAGAGCGGCTATGGAGGGTTTGCGGCAGTGTTGGATGGCTAGGGTCACGCGTCCGCCTCTGGAGAGAGCGTTGTATGTTAGCAGATATCTTTCGTTTATTAGGCAGATCACATATCGTCGCATCGCATTACATGAAAAAAGGGGAGAAAAAAAAGGAAGCAACATACCCATCCCTATGCTCCTGCACCTTTTCAGCCGCCTCACCATGCACGCCATCCCCGAACCCATCATCTAAATCTGCACCTGCACAGAATATCCGCCCATTTCCTGTTACGACGATGCATTTTACGCGGTCGTCTACGTCGAACATGCCGTACGCAGATTCGATTTCTGCGCGCATGACGTCGGTAAAGGCATTGTGATTGGCTGGTCTGTGGAGTGTAAGGATGATGATTGAGGGCTCTTTTTCGTGGTGGCGCGTGGTGATTTGGGTGAAGGGGAGGGTGTTGTAGGAGGTTGGGAGCGTGATGTCCGGGGTGTGACGGGCAGATTGTTTGGGTGCCATTATCTACTGAGGTGATTTATGGTCGTAAATGGTATTTTTTGATGTGGAAGACGTTATTATAGAGCATGTTGTTTATACACGTTTACCCCATGCTGTCTGGAGCGTGTAGCCATGCTTCTGGTAATCATGATGCGGGGAGACGAGGAACCGAGGTACGCGTTGGTGGTGTTCGACGTCGACGCGTGGGTTCCGGCGCGGCTTAGCTCACTTCATATGTCTAAGTTTCGCAGACGAGGAGAACGATTGGTGTGAACATATTACGCCTGTGTGAAATACAATACGATTAGTCAAACATACTGTGGCACGTATCTGGTGAGTGGAGGAGTAGCGAAAGACGTTTAGTAATACTTGACAATTACTCAAACATGATCATCATACACACGTGTCAACGTGAGATGATTACTGACGTTTAAATATTAACTCCTGATGGCCAAAGCCAAAGAACGCTCTACTATTACATTATGGTATCATTTCTCCCAACCAGACACCTCAAGCAGTGACCTCACCCTCTGCGAATGCTCTCCCAATTTCTCTCGCAACCCCCAACCTAAGCACCGCAATGATATCTTCACTCTTAGCACCCTTGGGAAAGCCTTTTCGCCAATCCCAGCCACGCTTGGTATCGTCTACATGTCCGCCCTTGACAAAGACTGTTGAGCCCTCTGTACTCTGACCATCTGCAGAGCCGAAATCGGTCGAACCAATGAGCGAATATTGGCTTGACGCCGTTGTTAAATTGGATGTAGATTTCGATAGGAGCTGGTGCGGGTTCGGCAGTTGTTGTGACGAGTTGACGTCATGTGCGGAGAAGAGTGTGGTTGTGAGTACTTCTTCGCATTGTGTTCGGATCATACTTGGTGCGGTATCAAGGTCCTCGATGGCGGCAAGGAGGTCGTATAAGTGACGGAGGGTCAATGTGCGCTTGGATTGGTTGACGAAGACAAGTGCCTCGCCCAGCAACGGTAGTAGGACATCGACTTGAACCACAGTTTCTATCTCTGGATCATACAGCCCACCACGAATGCTAGACGCTGCACTGGCGATGATGACCATGAGTGCATTAGCTGCAGCTCGTTTTCGTGCCATGGGCCGGTGTGCTGGCTTCTCTCCGGCCTTTAGCAGCACACCTTCATCTCGCAGATCGTAGTATTTGCGAATGGTCGCATAACCGCTGAGGTGATTCGAGAGGAGGGAAGCGGCTTCTGAGTCTAGGCTTGCGAGTTTTGTTAGGGTCTGCTTTGGTGAGGTGATGAGCGAGCTGAGTGACTCGTCTAATTCGTCTAGAGGTGGATAGGCAATTGATTTGATCAGGCAATGGGCAACCAAGACACGTAGCACTTCTTGAATCTTTTGTGCGTCGTGGGCGCGTGCGTAGTAAAGAAGTGTATCGCCATAACTCTCGGTATTCGTGCGAAGATGGTCGGCATATTTCTGTAACAGTCAGTCTGGATCCAATAAGATGTTGTGATACGACTTACCTGGGCGATAGTGACAGCATGCTGCGAGAGGCCCAGATTGTGGCAAAGCTGAGTGATCTTGTCAACGCGGGCCGAGGAGTCCAATGGTAAGTCGTTTAATATCTGCTCAATGCGTTCGTTCGCTGTAATGACGTCGTCCAGTCTGCCGAGAATTTGTACAGCAATCTCCCATCCTTCTTTACCCGGTAGTTCATGATCAAAAGTGAAGGGTACATCGACGGCAGTCAAGAGTTGTGAGTAGGAAACAAGCAAGTCGTCCTTTGTCAGACCTTTTGGCTTCTGCTGTTCGTTGTAACTCAGGACCATCAGATCACTCTGGTCAAACTGATCCAGTAGGCCCTTCGCGCTTGTGAACCACTCTCCTGCACTGGCGAGCTCCGCAGTTGCACAGGCCATGGGAAGCGACAGCACCTGGAGGATTTCTAGAGCACCCTCGATGTTGTCGTCGAATGCACATGCCAAGCCTACTTCAAAGCGGTCTGTAGCATTGATACCAAAGTCGTCGTCACTGTTGTGAACGACTGCCGCCAGCGCAGAGGACAACCGTTGGCAATACGCTTTAACTGGAGTCACGTCGACAGGACGAACTCGTTGTGACCGCATAATGGAGCGACGGCTTGCCGCCAGGCTGCCTTGTGCAGAGTCGTCCTCTTCCCCATTCCACCAAACACCCAAACCCACAACTGCTTCGATCCAATCAGCTGATAGGGTAAGGATCTCTTCTTCGTTGCCCAGTAAGAGCCGATAAACGATTCCCAGGTTCTCGTACACTGACCACGGTACTTTGCTCTCGGCTTTGCGACTCGCCACGCTAAGCTGGAAACTTGCCTGTGATTGCGAGATGCCAAAGTGTGCCGCCTGGAAAGGTTGATAGACGGAATGACGGTTTGCACTTTCGCCCTCGGCAAAGTCCTCTAAGCTGGCATATACCTGCTGTACTCGCTGCCGGAAGATACTCCAGTCATGTCCCTTGATGTCCCAGTCCTCGGATGCAATAGCCGGACATTCACGCAGAAGATCAACTGCTTGACGTACCGCGTGGTTCGCGTATTGGAGATGTGTGCCGCTATATCCTGTGGTACCTAGTCCGTCGCGTTCGGCTGTCTCAGCGTTTTCGAGTCGAGCACCCTGCAGGAACTTCATAGTCTGCGAGAAGTTGCCGCGAACAATGGAAACATGAATCGCCTCCCAGAAAGAAGGATGCCTCGAATAACCGTTCGTTTCCTTGCCTACTTGTCCAACCTCGGAATTACCATCGAGGGGGAATGCATAATTCAGCCAGTCGAGCAGTACCCTTGGAATGGGTGTGTATTGCCTCGAGTCAGTTCGCGCAGGCACAAGTGAAAGGGCGGAGGCCCGCTGGTTCAGGCCGATCTGTGGGGGGTGGTGTAGGGTGAGCAGAAGACTGGCAAGTTTACTACCATTGAGTTTTTCCCAAGGTGTTCTATTGTCAGACATAACAGGTGGTCTAGAAGGCGGCTTCGTCTCCTCTTTCCAGACTGCAACCAACTCCTGAGCGACGGTGCCGAGCACTTCGGTGCGCTTGTCTGGCGAGTCTGAGTGAAGAGACTCGTGGACCTTCTCAGCCAGGCGCTCCGTCTCCAGTATAAGGTGATCACCCTCGTTCAGGACCTTCTGTTTGCCAGTTGGCATCCAACGGCCTTGAGGAGCGTCGGATGTAAGGCCCCTGGCGAGCGCCAGAAGGTCGAATTTTGTCTGTTTTGCACCGGAGCGCACTAATACAAGGCCTGGCTCCATGTCGGTTGCGCTTGTTCTTGAGACGACAGATTGGGAGAACCTGTTTTGTGTTTTGTTGTGACGCTGTGGGGAGAGCGGCTCGTCCTCGTCGGTGCCCTCGTCGTGGTCGTCTTCGTCTTCCTCCTCATCGGTGTATTCTTCATCTGACTCGCCATGTGCATCGCGGTTGAGTGCGTTGGTGGGCGCTTGAAAGTGGCTGGAGGTGATTCGTCCTCGTTGTACTGGAGGCCGTCCGGACGTTGAAGTGCCTATCGAGCCGGCTCCAATGCCTTCGAAAAGGCCTTGCTTGGGCGGCGAGCTGTCAAAGAGCGAGTTTGTCGAGTAGCCATGGCTATTCGGGTTGAATGTCGGGCGTGTGTTGCCGAATAGTCCGTTGTTCATGCCGGGCGGCGGGCCGGCTGGTGTGGAGGAGGGATAGTGGGATTCGTCTGGAGGCGGCGGGCCGGCGGGGGTGGTTGAAGGTTGGCGGTCGTAGTCGTAGTAGTGATCGCGGCCGGGTGTGGAAGGTGGTCCACGAAACATTGCACTCGTGCTGTCGCGACTTTACGTGGTGAGACAGGCTTGCCAGGAACCCAGAACCAAAGTATTTTTTGCGCTTTGTTTCACACGTCAAGCGTTCCGCCTCACACGCGCCCCAGTAGGTTATTGAGGGGTAAGAGTCTTGGGGCAGCTCTTTGTCCAGCTGTTGTCGCAGTCGCAAAGCATAAACTTTGGACGAGCTCCATGGACGCGCCTAGTCGGGACATGGCTTGGCGCGTCGACTCCGGAGCACGGCGAAACCCTTCTCCGGCCGTCGAGGTGAAGACGGGGGGAAGCCCTGCACCTGCCTGTGCTTGCTTCTTTTTCCGGTAGATTGCAGACCCGCACGGCTATCTAGACTGCACGACACGTGCGCCTGATTCACGACGCATGGCCTAGTTTGATGCGCTTGTCTTGACTTTTGGTTTTTTCTGCTCGTTCCTGGTGGCGCCATGGAAGCGCATCCTCATGACGAATCAGGCGACGTGCTGCCTCCGTGATGGGCGTGTCCAGCACCCGTGTTCAACCCCGCTACGTCCTGTTTCTGGTAAATCAATATCGCATCACCGTCACTAACTCTTCTATCGAGTCGTGATGGGCAGGGGTCAAACCACTTGGTCATGTCCAGGGTTATTATTAAGGTACCCGATGCTAGACTGCGCCGTCGCCAGCCTCCGCCAGCATTAGCCTACAGCTGACGTACAGTGGGACTCAAAAACGGTTGGAGCCCGCTGGCCTACCAGACTGCCTTTCCCGCTGCTTCCGTCTGCTGACCCTACTCTTTGCCTTTTCTTCGTACGAGTTGTCCTACTTGAATGCCCTACATCTCTAATGTGTAATGCTACGGCACCGCACTCATAGCACTCTGGCCCACCTCTGACGTAGTGCTTCTGCACACACCGACAGCCCGAAAACATGGCCCTGTGGTCAACAGCCAAGACACAATCGAAGCAAGGCTTCGACAAAGTCTACAACTGGGTTGACAAGCTCGGTGCGCCTGTCAATCGCCTGTCCAACAAGGTCGGCTCCGAAGCCTTCTGGCCTACAACGCTCGACATCGAGTCGGACAAGGCTGCGAGGATCCTCAAAAGCTTCTGCAGTATGTCGATTCCCGATACCCACCGCCAACCGCTAACACAGTCACAGAGGATGGATTCTACCAAGAAGAAGACCGGCCCATTACCACCGATGTCCCCAAGGGCAAGCAACGAGTCCTCAAGAAGATACCCTCCAAGGTAATCAAGAATGCCAAAGGTCTCTGCATCTTCACAACCATGCGCAGCGGCCTCTGGGTCTCCGGATCAGGCGGAGCTGGCGTATTGGTTGCGCGCAAGGCAGACGGAACATGGTCACCACCCTCTGGCATTATGATGCACACTGTTGGCGTAGGCTTCCTTGTTGGCGTGGACATCTACGACTGTGTTATCGTCATCAACTCCGACAAGGCAATGGAGGCTTTCCAGTCCATCCGCTGTACTCTGGGAGGAGAAATCAGCGCAGTCGCAGGCCCAGCCGGTGTCGGTGGCATACTCGACACGGAGCTCCACAAGCGTCAATCACCACTGTTCACATATATCAAATCGCGGGGCTTCTATGCTGGTCTCCAGCTAGACGGAACCATCATAATCGAGCGAACGGACGAGAACGAGCGCTTCTACGGCGAACGCATAGGAGTCAAAGACATATTGGCTGGAAACGTACGGCATCCACCTTATGAGATAAGGAGGCTCATGGAAACACTCAAGTCAGCTCAGGGCGACACCGACGTGGATGAGTCTCTGATACCAGACGAGGCAACACCAGGAGACTTTGAGGTTACAGGCCCCGAAGACAAGACTTTTGGTATCCCAGACGCCGTCGATCCCGATCCCTATGGCGTCCTGGCACTACAAGAAGCCGGTCTAGAAATCAGGGAGGCAGGCACACACAGTCGGCCGACAAGCGAGCAGTTTGAATTCAAGCCGAGCCCAACAAGTCCGATTTACAACACTTTCAGGAACTCCACATTCCGGAGAAGCACGGATCGGTCAAGCTTTGCCGGCAGTCGACGCTCAAGTTGGCGAACAAGCACCATCAGTGGCGTGCTCGAGCCCCGGACACCAACGGCCGATATGAGCACACAGACTGACGATCTACCGCCACCCCCGCCGACCGTCAGGAAGACGCCCCCTACACTACCGCCACGAACAAGTATCGCACGTCTACCCACGCCTCCCATAGCAGAAGTACCCGAAACTAGAGTCGAGCAAGCCACTCCGCCACGAGCCAAGAGTGTCGAGAGGCAGATTGAAGAGGCAACACCCACAGCTGCAAAGAAGACTGATAGCGCTGTTGACTCAAAGTCGACCGGCTCTCCTCGCAACTCAACAGCTACTGAAGTGGTTGAGGACGACGACAGCAGTGACGATGAGGATGACGAGTTTGAGGATGAGCCAGTCGTTTATGAGGTTCACCAGGCGGCTGCTCCGCAAGCCATCCACGCACGCGTTGTTCAAGTTGCCAAACCAGTCGCTCCAGCCCTGCCTGTCAGGAACCCCTTCCGCAACCGTGTCTCAACAAACTCGGACGGGTCGCTGAGCACTACCCAGGGTGCATCCCCTGTGCCCTCCCCGACCAAACCCAAGCATAGCCCGGAATCCACCCCCTCGCTTATGCGCGGTGACTCGACCTCTTCTTTGTCTTCTGTAGAGGACAACAGACTGGAGCAGATCGGCAACAGACTCAAGCCAAAGTACTCGCATGAGCCTTCGCCTGATGACGAGAAGAAGGATGATGCTTACCACTCACTTCCGGAGTCTCCGATGAAGAGCATTCCAGGCGGTTTCAACTGAGCGCCCAGACTGGCTATTATGGAACTCTTGCACCTCTCTTCACACCGCTCCTTACTGCGACAATAATCGACTGGGATAATAGCATCATCCCTGACTACAACACTCTAGACTACGCGTACAAGATGGCGTTGCGATGTCAAGCGCATGGTTGTTGCGTCTCGCCACTTGCTTATTCGACTTGGCTAAAACGCAAGCATACTCGGTCGATCAGTACATTTTCATTGGAGATGAACTCTCACCGTCGTTACGACTTATGATTCCCATTGATATCCACATTATTGCTTTATCTGCCTCGCTCGCGTATGGTCCTTCAGCATTTGTATGTATTTAGTGCTATGTTCGTTGAGCAATGCATTAGCCCATATAGCGACAGCGACCGTAGATCAATATCACCTCATAATCTGAAGAGAGTACGTTTCTAAATGTTTACCTGTGTCACACTACGGTCCATGGCTACTCTCTGGGCGGCGTGCGACGCTAACGTGGCCGTGACATCCCTGCCAAAATTTCGTGACCGGAATTCCACCACGAGCTCGACTTGCGCGGGCACATGCGAAAACTTCCACACCAACAATTCTATGTCGGATTCCCGCAATAGTGCTCCCTAAGATACCGCGCTCAGACCTAGACCTGTGTAGAGTATCAGATCGTGTCCATTCGGAGAAGTACCAAGCGAGACTTGCTCAAGCACACAGCGCTGTCCGTCGCAATCAACCCACGAGCCAAAGCCATCATGGCACCCTCAGCGTCCCCCGCGCCCAAGAAGTCCAAAGCTCCACCCAAAACAATCGCAGACTTCACCGTCCTCCCCCTCACACTACCCACCCTCTCCGGCCTACCAGCTACCTCAAACTCCGCAAAACACTATGTGTACATCAAACCGCACTCGCCCAGCCTTCCCACCGCAGACGATGAGCGCAGTCTCTTCATCGCAAACATACCCATAGATGCCGACGAGCGCAGCATACGCGCGCTATTCCAAGGACAATTAGGCGGCAGCATGGTCGAACGCGTGGAATTTGACGCGAGTGTTCCTGCGCAACCAATGCATAAGCGGTGGAGGAATACTGAGAAATCTGCAACTGCGAACGAAGACGATGTCGCTGGAGGTGACAAGAGGGGGAAGAAGAGAAAGAGGATGGACGACGCGGCTGTGATTGCAGAGGGTGTTGTGGAAGACGCCGAGAGTGCACTACCGCGATTATGGAATACTGAGGTGAGGAAGAGTGGGAGTGGCGCCGTCGTTGTTTTTGTGGACAAGAAGAGTGCAAGGGGAGCGCTCAAGGAGGTGGCAAGAGCTGTTAAAGAGGGCAAGAGTATTGCGTGGAAAGGAGGTGAAGGGTTGGGCGTCGAGCGTAAGTCTTGTTATATATCTTTACTCGGCATGCTAGGTTTGCATGAATGCCATGCTAATTTCACAATCAATAGGCTACAAATCACACAACACACTCCTCTACCCCACCCCTTCCGTACTACAAGCCTCCCTCAACGCATACCTCACACAGTTCAACGCCCTAGAAACATCCAGGAATCGCCTCCGCAAAACATCCCGCTCTGTTCCTGACGAAGATGGCTTCATGACGGTTACGCGAGGCGGACGTGTCGGGCCTGCAAGGATCGAAGACGCAGAGAAGAAGAAAGCAGAGTTGGATGAGAGGAAGAGGAATCATAGGGCCACCGATGACTTCTATCGCTTCCAGAATCGGGAGCGCAGGAAGGAGGCTGAGGGTGCATTGAAGAGGAAGTTTGAGGAGGATAGGAGGAGAGTGGAGAGCATGAGGGAGAGGAGGGGGAGGGTCAGGCCGGAGGCTTGAGAGGTCAAGGTTGTTGTGGAAGGTTACTACAGTAGTATGTACGAGTAGCACCTTCAGACAGTTGTATCACTGCTTCAGCCGCTCGGCATGAAGGCTCACTTGGTATGGCGTATAAGACAAGATAGTCGAATCCAACATGTTGATTCTTGATTATGAAATAACAATCGTAAAGTTCGTTGTAAACTAAAAGAAATACTCCTAAAGCGCCCTGGGAAAAGACGAAGGTTCTTCAACTCAATAACCGAGTAAGAAAAGCGGCTTCTTACCACGAAGCGCACCAACTAGTCCATCCCATTCCCATTTGCATTTGCGTCACTCCCATACTTCTCGATGAGATTTCCTTCCACTCCTTCATCGTTGCCATTACCGCCGCCTGGGTTCCGTCCAGGAAGTGTCTTTGACTGGAAGCAAGCTTTGTTGAGTCTACGACTTCCACTCCTCCGACAGGGAGGATAAAAATCGCCTTTCAGATCGGACATTTGAGTCAAGTTGACTTTCAACGTAGCTTGTACGGTTTCTGTCCCTTGCCCGATATCATCGCCTTGTTTCCTCAGCCATTGGCTGTGACGTAAACAATTCGCCGACGGAAGTGTGCGTTGCGGTTCCGTTGTACTCCCAAAAGACCTGGCGCAAACAGCGTCGGAAGTGTGAGCTTCCCGGATATCCAAATAGTCTTTGTCGTAGCAAATCTTTCCTGGCGTCGTGATAGAGATGGACACGGGGTCAATGTTCAGCATGAGTTGGGCATCGTTACGACATTTGCTCTTGTCGTTCTTAGCAGTGGCCATCAGGCCAGGTTGCATGTCTTTGCTAGATTCAGTATGAATCTTCTCCCAGACGAGTGCTGAGAGACCGCGAGGGAAAGTTTCGGATGCCTTGAGGGTGTTGCACTCCCAGTACAACTGTTCGCCCAAATGGAGGAAGCGTCGACTGAGGAGGCGGTCTTGTAGCGCCCACGCACGTGTATCCCAACCAAAGTTTGGCGTATTCAGGATGCCAGCTGGTAGCAGAGCAGAAGCAGGTAGTCGACCTGACGTCGGACTCTGGCTTGTACTTGAACCGAGTAAGGACGCAAGATAGGTCTTGTCGCTCGTGCCTTCGACAATAGCTTCATCATTGAAGTTGTGGTCCGGGTCTTCTGAATGGTCAAGTACGACTGTCAGTGTCGCATTGCGGAAGGTAGACGCCATGCTTATGCATTCGCGTTCCTTGTCTTCTTCCGAGTCTTGTATGACACAGAGTGAATCTAGCCAACAATACTTATAGCCCAAGTCATGCGCTGCCGCAATTGCCTTCGCGATCGCAATCGGAAGTGTTTGTAGTGGCAATTCAGTCTGCATGCTCGATAGTGTATCGCTCGAGAGTAGTGGCTGTATGTGACTCCAGACGTGACTCAATGCCACGTACTCTATCTTGTCGGCAGAGGATTCGATACTGTCAGTCTGAACAACCTTCGCGCGGATTGTGCCATCTTGGCCATTCGAAAGGATCTCGATCAGACGTGTGGGTAGGGAGCTGGCATCGCGTGTGACTATGTGGCGACAAGCTTCGTGCGTGCATGAACATTCGCTTAGCCAAGTCTTTGCATTCGCAAGGCTGGCTTTTGATTCTGTGGCGTTCGTTCCGTGAAGATGAGGATGGTCGTAGGTATCGATATCGCCGTGGTGATTGAGCATGTCTACTCCATCAAGCTCTTCTTGTGGGCCAGGGAACGTCGCCTTGTCGTTGGGCCAGGTGAGACAGCATGGTGCCGGAGTGAAGATCATAGTCAACGCTCCTGCATCTGGTCGTGCATCTGGGTCAGCATTCAGCATGCTCTGAAGCGTGCAAATCACTGTATGCTCGGTCGTGGTCTTTGCCTCGGCAAGGAACCCAGCGAGCTGATCTTGTATACCGGATACATCCTGCCAATAGTGCTTGCCAGTACGACCACTAAAAGCCTTGCGGAAGGCTAACCATCCCATGTTGTCTTGACTAAACGGAACGGATGCCATCTCCGCGAAGACACAACCAAGACTCCAGATATCAGCAGCCTTCTTGCGGGAAATGCCCGAGGATACCTCAGGTGCGATGTATTGGCGTGTTAGCGGCTTGTATTGGTCATCACTCATCTCTTCTGAGGAGCTGACACCGAAGTCGCTGAGTATAACGTGAGGGAACTCTTGTTCACCTTCGACGATCAAGATGTTCTGAGGCTTGATGTCCATGTGCCTGACTTGCTGCTCGTGAAGATGTCTTACTGACGATGCGAGACAGCCAAACATTCTGACGATAGTCTCTGAGAGATTGGCAGGCTTTTGCGCCGCTGATCGCTCGAGCCATACTGCAAGTGTTGTATCGGCAACGGGTGAGAGCAACATGGACATCTTGTCGCCCCGTGAGTAGGTCCCGATGATGCGAATGATATGAGGGTGGCGTAACTTCTGAAGAACGCTTACTTCCTTCTTGAGCTCCTCGATCACTGTCTGGTTACGATTCTTGAGTGTCTTGCGACTGACGTGTAATCCCGTTTGTTGATGCACGACTTCGTCGACTGTACTGAAGCCTCCTGAGCCAAGCAGCTTGACACTAAGGAAGGTCGCGTTCCTAGCTTGTATTGTTCCTCTGGAGTGTCCAACCGTCAAAATGTTCTGCGTGGATGTCGTTGTATACTTGTCCAGGGATTCGTCGTGTGTCGTGCGTTCTTGATCTCCGGTGGCAGCGAGGGACATCGTGGATGACAGAGGAGGTCGTCCAATACTCGTTGCTCTCTGCAACAAGTTGTCTTGTATGGCGATCGTCGTACCCGTGTCGAGCGATATGTCAGGAGTCATGACTTCTCCATTTACTATGTGGGCAGGAGATGCTGACGACGAACGCCCAGTACTAGCAGCTATATCGGCTCTAGAGTGCTTCCAGTGCGGATGCTCCAACAAAATACTGTCTGTCCTATCATCCATGGATGAGATCGGAAGCTCCTTCTTTATGGGTTGGGCGACATCATCTCCGGCCAGAGCGCTCTCGTCATCTTCCTCTGCTCTGATGCGGCCATCTCGCAGGGAGCCCGCAACAGTCGACACACTGCGCGAGCCCGACTTGTTCGACTCATGTAGTGAGGTCGATGACTGAGAGATGTTCGGCGAAAGTATAGTGGGTTTGGTATGTTGGTCCGCACAATCCGACTGGCTCTCACCAAGTTGTGAGAGCTGGAATTGGAAGAATCCGCCGCAGGATGGTGGGCCGGTAGAACCGCTACCGCTGCCGCCGCTGCCAGAGTATTTGGAGCCACTACCACCACGTGGATCGAATGGTGGTTGAGGAGAAGGTTTGCCACCGAAGCCGTCATCGCTTGGGCCGTCGTCATTGTCATCGTCCGCAGAATCGTTGCTGTCGTTGTCTTCCTCATCCCGCCAGTCAAGCATGCACTTGCCCTGTTTGAAGTGATCGGCGATGTGATCTATACGTTCTTGTCTGGATTCGAAGCGATGTCGGCAAAATCCGCATCTACGAGGGAATTCGGTTTCGGAGATCACTATACTGGCATCGTCGAAGTCTTCAGGGTTCATCTCGGGGT